ACTTTATTTTACAGCAGATTTAGTTTTCATCTGTTCCTGTAATTGCTTATCTTATTGTATCGTGACATTCTTATCTATATGCTTACTGATATTGATCCTGATCGAAATCTGTCCCATATCCACACTAATCAGCACATTGATCATCATCATTGCAGGTATTACACAGCAAATCTTGCAAAAAACAAACTCCTAAATAGCACCTGCTTATCAGTTTACAATCAAAATGTTAGATCACTTGGTAAACATTTTGATATAAATGCACTACTTACAGCACTAAATTATCGTTCATCATTTTAACAGAAACTTGGCTAAGTAATGACTATACCCAACTCTACAATTTAGCTGGTTACAAAGCCATTCATAACTGCATGCCTAACAAAAAAGGTGGCGGTACAGCAATATATTACAAAGATACCTTCATTTGCAATAGTGTCATTTGCAATAGTGTCATTAGTGATAGAGACGACTATTGTGAATATACCTTTGCCAAGTTCTCCAGTAAATCCCTTAAATCCTCCCTGATAATCGGTGCCATCTATAGATTTCCTAATACCAACATAGCTTTATTCTCTGACAATGTAAGGAATCTTATAAATAACAATCTCGACAAAAATCACATTATTCTGGGAGGTGATTTCAATATTGACCTGGGTCTTCAAAACAACCCTCAAGTTGACTATTTCCGTAACAGCATGTACTCCTGTATGCTAATCCCCACAATCACCAAGCCCACCCGAGTCACTCAAACATCTGCCACTACCCTGGATCACCTATGGACTAATATAACAGCTCCCCTTACATCTGGGGTAATTTATGACAGAACAACTGACCACTATCCTACTTTCCTCATAGCAAACATTGACACATCACCACCAGAAACCAAAAAACTTTCAGGCTACATAGTGAATCAGCTTTAGGCAATCTCTCTAATGCACTTCACAATATTAACTGGGAATCTGAATTTAATACTTCACAGGATATAAACTCATCAACTAACCTCTTTCTCTCCAAAACTAAGCCTCTACAACACTCACTGTCCCCTCCTTACCAAACAAGTAACTGATAAAAGAAAATAACCCGTGGCTCACAAGTGGCATAATTAAATCAATCAAAAAACATGAATACGAAAAGAAATTTAAGAGTGGCCTAATTTCAATGGAAGTAGTTAAAAGGTACTCAGTGCTTACCAGTATCATAAGAAAAGCAAAACTTTCATATTATGAGACTAGATTCAAAGAAGCAAAAGGCAACTTGAAAAGCACATGGAATACCATCTCTAACATCCTGGGAACTAAACAACACTCCCACAACCAGATAACACTAAGGATGGCCTTACACTGTCATCTGACTTAGAAATGGCGAATGAATTTAATAGCTTCTTTTCATCGATTGGTGCTAACCTTGCAAGTAAAATCCCACAGACTCAGACACATCAACACATCTCTCAGGCAGCTATCCAAACTACTCTTCTCTCACCAGTCAGCCAGTCAGATGTTGTGTCCATCATACACTCACTAAAAACCAAAGCTGGGAACATCAGTGAAATCCCATCCATTGTATACAAGAGCGCCTCCCATGCCCTTGCACCACCTATAGCTCTGCTGTTCAACAAATCCCTTGAGTGTCATACCTTCCCTGATATCCTTAAAAACGCAAGAGTAACGCCAGTTCATAAAGGAGGTAATCCATCAGACATAACTACAGACCAATATCGAACCTACCCATACTATCAAAAATATTTGAAAAAATTAACAAACAGCTCTACTCCTATCTCGTAAAATTCGACATTCTTAGCCCCTGTCAGTTTGGCTTCCGCTCTCAAAAGAGTACCAACGATGCAATTATTAGTCTCCTTGATATAATTTACTCTGCCCTTGACAAAAATGAGTTTCCAATTGGACTCTTCATTGACCTGAAAAAGGCCTTTGATACTGTTAATCACGATTACCTCTTATGTAAACTCCATCATTATGGAATCCGAGACCATGCACTGGACTATATCCAATCCTATCTTAGTGATAGACACCAATGTGTAGCCATCAATAATATAATCTCTCCCATTCTACCAATAACCGTTGGAGTGCCTCAGGGCAGCATCTTGGGACCCCTACTATTTCTTATATACATTAATGATCTGCCTAATGTCTCTAACATTCTGAAACCTATTTTGTTTGCTGATACTACCCTCATTTACTCCAACCCCAACCCACATACACTAAATGATGTTAATAATGAACTAAAAAAAGTCCACTTATGGATGTCAACCAACAAACTAACACTTAACAGAAAAGACGTACTACATCCCATTTGGAAGCAAATCTACAAATGCAATTCAGCTTCAGATTGACAATGTAAACATTAGCAATAAAAATGATGGAAAGTCTTGGCATATTCCTAGACAAGAGACTCAACTTCAGTACCCACATACAACACATAACTAAGAGTCTCTAAAACAGTTGGTATACTCTCCAAAATCAGATATGTTCCTAACTCTGCTCTATATTATGCACTAATCTATCCCCATCTCAACTATGGTATCTGTGCATGGGGTTCAACCACTGCAAACCACCTCAAGTCCATCATCACCCAGCAAAAATCTGCTCTCAGAATAATATCAAATTCTGCTTTCGGACAACACACAGCCCCCTTGTTTAACTCTCTAAACATGCTAAACAATCTCACTCCACAAATTCTCTTGTCAACTACATTTACAAAACCCTGTTCTTAAATGCAAATCCTTGTCTGAAACTCTTCCTGGACAGATGTAATAGGACCCATTATCACCACACCAGAAATAAATATCTCTTCGATATCCCCAGAGTTAAACTTAATTTTTGTAAACACTATGCAAATATAGGGACCCAGTTTATGGAACTCGCTCCCTACTGAATTGAAAAGCTGTCCAACTTTTACATCATTCAAAAGCAATACTAAAAAGTACCTAATTCCATCTTCATAGTTTCTCTTTTTGCCTTAAAATTGCACTATCTATTGCTACCCAATCTCCCAACCTTTTGTTCCCAATTTGAACATCTTTACCATTGTGATCATTGCTGTCTTATATGTGCTGTCAATCTGCTGTATGGTGTCTATTAATCTTGTTGAAATTACTAATCAAGCTGTCAATGTAATCAGAGCTTTAATATAACTGTTTTAATATACTTATCTCATCTCATTTTTCTCTTGTAATGTATCTTTCATTTATCAATTCTGATTGAAATTACCTACTTAAAATTATCTGCTAGATTAAGTATCTGCCCGAAACGCTGCGCGTACTAGTGGCTTTACAAGAATGTAATTACTGTACTATCCAATGTATTCTCACAAACCCAATGTACCTTGTATATATATAAATAAATAAATAATAAATAAGACTGAGGGAAGGAAGCTGGAGAACAGACCAGAGGTGGGCGGCCGGGGTCCGGAGGAGGAAGAGAGGGGAGGGGTAGATAGAGGGGAGCGCACCTCAGCAAGAACAGCAACCGAGAGGGAAGCGGGGGCCAAAGAAACCTCAATATCAGGAACAGGGGGGGGGGCGCAACCACTGAAATGGGATGGGAAGGAGCAATACAGCCAAAAGTAGGGGCCCAGGAAGAAAGCGAAGCCTTCTTAGCCGCCGGGGAGGACGGAGCCAGGCTTACGCTTCTGACTAAAGAGACAGGTGTCCCAGCAACTAGGTACTGGGAAACGGATTCCAGCGTCTCAACAGAAGCTGAACGAGAGCACACACGACGGCCGTTAGGAGAGCGATGGACATCAGCCCGCACCAACAGGCGGCGGGGAGACTCAATACACGGAGGAGAAGGACAACACTTTTACACCAGACTCACAGGTTAAGGCGCTTCAGTTTTTAATGAAAACACTCGCTAGGAGCGCCCAAATATGCCTGTAGTAGTCGTCAAACTCCCACTTAACACCTTTATGTCCACCTCATACCATCCCCCTCAAACTTCCTTATTCAACAACCAAAATACTTATCTATTGCATCACCCCCAATCTACTGCCTTCATACCTTGTTTTACATTTTTCACATAATCTAATTGCCAGTAAATCACGTCAACCACCCCCTATCGTCATCACGTACATTTACTTTGCTACACCTCGAGTGGGTGACACTTCAATATACACGACTGCGTTAGGCCCGGAACACTTCCCTTAGTGGCCACGTTCTTATTAACTACTTGAACCCTACCTTACATTGCCTGTAAAAGTGTTGCTTTAACACCTTAATATGCTTACTCATCCGGTCTATACAGTTTCCCATTAACAAACTAACATGTTATTACTTCCTACTTTGTTATTGCAACCACTTCTCCATGGGACACTGATTAAATAGTTACATGTTAACTAATTAATCAACGTTCACAAACTTACGAAATGATTATATCTTCAATACTTCCACTCACTATTTTATTCCCACTTTAATAACTTTCACAACGTGAACACTAATTCCTGCAAAACTACCTTTGTCACATTCAACTTCCACAACATTTAAGTGATAATAACTACTCTCGCCCGCCTAAACGTCACATTCAAACCCCCACAATCACCTTTAAACTAGTAACGTCCTCCAACCTATCCCCACGATTCTTCAAGATTAGTCACACTTACTCAAAAGTCTTCCCGAATAGGGCAGTTGAAGCGTCTCCGTGTTCTTCCAGACAGCCCAGGGGTCCTGCCAATCTGTCCGCTATTACCTGCAACAAGGCAACGTCATGTTACCAATATAAATTATTCAATCATGCCTATACCATACCTTTAATTGCAACATGTACTTTCACTAAACTAATTTCATGCTCCCAATTTCTAATGACACTTAAAAGCATAGATCCCACCTAGATAGTCAACGAGTTTTGCACCTGTTACTTGTGGCCTCGACACCCTCTGAGCACCTAATACTATTAACCACTTCAGTCTCACTTTACTACGCTATCCTATTACAATATTACCACGCCCTCTAAACTTACACTAGATATTCAATAACTACTTGCCTTAAACTCATACCGCCATCATAGATGCTAACTCACGCAGCACATCTTGCCAAACCGGGACATCTGCCACCACCTTCTGCTCGCCACCGACTTGATTCATCGGTCCACCACAACCTTAGTCTCTCCTCCACCTTCCTAAATCACCAGTCGGCTCATTTCACGCGATGCCTCGTCTTCCCACCATTACCTCATTCACTTAATAACGCTGAAAAACAAACATTACAATTAACTACACATTTATAAATATCTTTTAGTACTCATTACAGGTCACCACTAAAATAGCTGCCTATAGATATATAATCCCCAAAGAGGGTATATACGGCTGCTGTAAAATATATATTTTTGACCCTATGTATTGGCGTTTTGCGGGTGTACAATATGAGTGTAAGCTAGGGGATCTGTCAGCCCTAGCGACCCCAAAGGGTAACGGGGTACCAGCTCAGAGTAACATCACGCCCTAACACTAACTTGTACACCACAACTATGCCAATACTGGGGTCAAAATAACGTTCCGTCGAGCCTCACCCACCAAGTCGACTCAACAGCCAATCACGTTTCGATTTTTCAATTGACGTCACTTCTCGCAACCTCTACTCTCATTGGTCGGCTCAACCTAATTGGATACTCTAGTAATTCATGACAATTATTTATTGAAACTCAAATATATACACCCAAATGTATACCCAATGTATGAGAAACATACATATACCATATGTATGAAAAACAATGTTTGACTTTACACTCACAAATGATGACTTTGGATTAATTATTATTATAATGATTAAATAATAATTATACTTATTCAAGCTGTAAGTACAGTACAACACAGTACACTATAGTATTGTACAGTAACGTACAGTACAATCCCCTACGGTACGATACATTACAGTACTGTAGAGTACAGTTCCGTACGGTACAATACATTAACTACTATACATTACAATACAGTACCGCATCATACAGAACAGCCAAGGGCACAGTACTCTACAGTACAGTACTGTGTACTACACAAAAGTACCATACAGTACGGTAAAAAATAAAACAGTACAATACAGTACGGTACACTGCAATGCACTACACTATAGGACACAACACTACAGTAACGTACACTCACACTTCGTTACTTCCCTTTCAAATGTACCAACGGCATCACAATTATAATTTTCTCTACTTAAATAACTATTTCTTGAACGTAACAACGCGTAATAACCACAATTTTCACGTGAGATGGGGAGGGAGGAGATTGCTGCAATGGCGGTGTCTGGCAACTGACGCTATTATTCTCTTCATTTCTTTATATACAAGAAAGTACATTGTGTTTGTAAATACTATGCTATGTATTCTCACAATCTTGTGAAGCCACTAGTACGCGCGAGTATCAATAACGACCATTGTTAGTGCATTATTACCTTTCCAACCCTTCATTTCCCTCTCTAAACAACACAAATGTTTATTTATATACGTGATTTAAGCCATAGCTGCACACTGCAACTAGTAATATCGATTATATTTAACATGCAGTCAAATAGTGTTTTACACATTTCTGCAAAGTCATCAGTCATTTTGAATAATAAAGATCTTGTGCTTTACAATTTCATGATTTGATCTCTTGTGAGTCGTTCTTTGGGAATGGCGCTATATTATGCTAACCTAAGCAAGCTACGCTAGACTCCACTAGGCTAGGGTAAGCTACGTAAGGTTAGATACAGTACCGTAACATATAGGGTACAATACAGTACAGAACATTATAGTACACTACCCTACAATACATTACAGTAACGTTCACTACAGTATTGTACAATACACTATAGGACAGTGCACTGCAGGATACATTTCAGTACAGGGTGCAGTACATTACAGAACAGTAAACTATAATACACCATAGTGCAGACCATGACAGTACAATACATTACAGGAAACTGAAGTAAAATACAAAGTAATGTACTTTATTGTACATACAAGTACACTGGAAGATTTTCTACTAGAAATTCCCCTAAAATATCCTATTAAACATTCCCTACAAATACTAGTAAACATTTCCAAAGAAATACTACTAGAAATTCCCCTATAAATCCGACTACAATTTACCCTACAAATTCTACAAACTCCCCTACAAATCCTACTAGCAAGTACCATAACAATCCTACTATGAATCTCACTAAAAATCCAACTACGATTCCCCCTAACAATTCTACTACAAATTACCTACAAATAATATTACAAATCCTACTATTTCATTCAATATTTAATAATATTCTTCAAATCTATATAAATGCAATTGTTCGTTTGTGCATAACCACTATTAAACTTAACTTCTTTACCGATTGACTTCATTTTTTGACACAACGTTACCTTTGAATAGGCGGTTCTTTTTTCTATACCTTCTATATAAATGTCACACATGTCACAGGTAAAACTATGCTTTTCTTTAAAACACCACCATCTGTTGCATGTCAAAGCAACACACATGCTATACTAAATATGTTACAATTCCATTTCATGTTTCGGATTGCAATGATCATTTCATTTTCCATACATTCTGATTTATTTGCATTTCATTATTTGGTGTACATTGCATTGGATTTCAGCCGTGTTGTTTACCATACCAATCATTTCATGATTATAAATAATATTTTCATTTTTTTTTTTAACTGCAATTCTTATATTTGACTGATGGGAACATCAGATCACTTTATGTTCCAAATTTTCTGATGGGAACATCACACCATTTGGTGTCCATCAGACGGAGTGGGGAATGCTTCAGAGGCCGAGGAGGCGGGTGAGGGGGTAATGCTGGGGGACAAGGAAGGTTATTATTCAATACTATTGAATAATAATCAGTATTAGTCATTATTAATATTATTCAATAATGTTGATTATTATTATTTAATAGTATTTACTCATTATTGAATTTATATTTTTTCATTAATATTATTATTCAATAATATCCATTGTCAATATTATTGAATATTAGTCAATATGGATTAATATTCCAGAATATGGAATATTAAACATGGATCAATATTTATTAAATATTTATTAATCAATATTCTACAATATTATGAAGTAGTATTCATTATTCTACATTTATTGCTTCACATTATTCTATATTTTATTAAATATTTATTATTCTAGAATACCGATTATATCTTTGCCCTACGCCATTTCTACGTTAGCTGAACCTAACTTCTACCACTTTCCTTGGATTCTCGGTTCTCTTCGGATAGCAAAATACCCACAAATCCACAACCAGCAAGACGCTTCGTGCTCACATCTCAACTCCAAGTCCACACAACCGGCTCCAGCCGCCCACCGAAAGCGACACATGCCACACTAGGGCCACGAACAGTCACGAGTTACTGTCCCAGCCACGACACCTCTTCCCAATGTCACCCCAGGACATGTTACCTGGCCCCAGGACTATATGCAACCGAGTATTTCAATTGCATTTAGTCCTACGGACCATTCACGCTTGTTCGCATCTGTGTTCCTCACGTGTGCCCCAAAGAATGAGGCGATTTCATAAAATGCTATGCCAAAGATTACAATCAGAGTGCCGGCGGCCAAGTGGTTCAAATAGCTTCGGCTATCACTACCTTCTGTCCGGTCATGATGGTGCCAGTTTTCATTTATTTATATTATATATATTACACACACAGGTATACAGCTAGGATAATTATTCATCTACAATAATTATCCTAACTATATACATATAATAAATATCCTACATATCCTAGATTTATTCTATATATATATTCTAGATTATATATATTCTGAATATGTATATCGGATAATCTAGATGCATCCTATATATGCCTCTAAAATATATATAATGTTCTAGATATAATCTAATATTTTACTTTAATATTAAACTGTATTTTAAAAAATATTTACTGAACCATATGCCAGTAGATTTCACTACAAATGAATGCCTACAGTCTATGTAAATATCCAAAACAAAACTACCTATTACAATCTTGGTCGTAACTCCTAGTATCTAACCACACACTTATTACTGTGTACACAACTGTTGAAGATTACTAAAGGTTATTAACACTACTATGTTTGTGTATATTATTTAATGAGTTCTATTAGTCTGATGTTTCAGACTTATCAAAACTACATTCAAAAATCCCAACTTGTACATTACAAATCAACTAATACAATATTGAAAATGGGATGCTGACAGTACACTCCTATAATAATGGCACATATCATTACTATATCCTAACTGATAAATATTACACGAATACCTTTGACATGCAATTCCACATTGAGGTCGTAACTCCCTTTACAAATCTATGCATAAGTATCCAATGATCAAACTATATATAAAATTTAAGGCAAACATATCCATGGACACCACTTAATCTACAGACATGGCATCATCATCCTTATCTTGATCCTTGGTTTTATCAGAAACCTCCTTCTCTTCTTCCTTCTTACTGCCTTCCTCTTTACCTTTCTTCTTTCAAAACGCCTGAAAGTAAAACAAAATATATGAATGATGATTGATTCTATAGTACCATGACTTTTATTAACACTAAAAATACAATAATAAATATCATGTATGCTCTACTGTCCTAGTTGTATTTACAGGCAATGAACTACACTAAATCGACAACTAAACACTATCAAAATCCTATTGGTTTTTAAATCGACTTTTAAACCTAGGGATACTTGTCCAAACACTTGGTCATTAATTCAACAGTCAAATAATCTCTTCGGTTTATTATCCGAAACATTTCACTGTCAGTATGTATCCAGAATTTGCCTCACAACTATGATTTGCCAATATCAAATGTCTACTTATTGGATCACATGACATAAGCTTATTACTGTATTCTACTGTATAGTGTGGGCGATACGCCAACATTTACTTTGTCGGTACTAACCAAACACCTCCAAATATCATGGCAGTGTGTGGTCAGGTCACAATGACCTCAAATAACATCCTTCCCAGTGATATCACAGTAACCTATGACATCAGGTAACGTACAACCTACATTAGGATGTGCATCTATATAGATTAAGTAATTATCAAAACAATGCACCAAACCAGGAAGGCTATGTAGCACCAACTGGGCGGAATAATCAGAGCCCGCTAAATATCACTAAGGATGACAAAAATATGAGAACACAAACGCACAAACCGAACGATACCAAATTTATCAAATTCACAAAGAATTCGATCGAGGGACAAGTGACTGCAAGGGATAGTCGGAAAGCAGAGCATAGAGAATGCCATAAAGTTCTGCCGTGAAGATGCCAAGTCTCCAGAGGCAGGCGACATATATATCTGGTCAGGAAATAACTTATGTGATGGCCTACACTGTCTGCAATCTTAGACCCATCAGTGAAGATGGAAATGAAATGGTTCTGTGAAGAAAAGTGTTCAAGGAAAACGCATTTCTGAACTGTAGGAGGGGTAAAAACTTTAGTAATGTGGCTCAGGGATTTAATAAATTTACAAAGGGACACCCTCCACAGGAGGGCAAAGATGGAGTACTAGGAGAAATATTGGTAATACTAACCGAAAGACATTTTTGCAGCCCACAAAACTTACCAGAAAGACGGAGATGGGTGAAGGGGAACATGAGGTACAGGAGGGGTAAAAGTCAAAGCACGACATAGGCAACAGTGAGGGGTATTATAAGCTGATCATAAACACACACTCGACTCAAGGTCACGGCCTCTTCCATTACTCGCCACCGTCGCGTTGCTCGTCGTCTCCACCCTATGCGCATTTCTCAAACAAGATACTTCATCGTTCTGTTCCGCCCAGCCACAACCTCTCCACACGCTACCATCCTGGAAATCCATAATATCAATCAACTTATCATCGACAACATTTCCTATTGTCCTACAACCATCTACGAACACTCCATTAACAATTCCTTATATTAGACATTTCCGCAATGAAGAACATTTCAGTATATTTCAACATCTAACAATTTGGATATTAATTTCATTAAGGTTGACAAACTTAACACCCTTTATATGACAACTACAATACATAGCAAAACACATTTTCAACCTCGGACGAGTCCTACTTTTATATACAATTCATTCAAACCGCAACCATGACAATCCCCACCCACCTCAAAACTAACCGTTTCTTATACATACAATTGCAGTGCTAAACGCAATTTTTTCCCCTCCTCGGGGTTTAGTCATCCCGCAAATTTAACCCCCTCAGCCTCTCATTTCCTGTTACACTTCTGCCTAGCCAACATTAACTGCTAAACAACTACCTACTAATACCTATATCACCACACATTCCCGCTTACTTCTCCAGGGACACATCTCTTCCTAGTACACAATTCTCAATTAACACTACAAAATCAACTCAACACCAATATACTTACTGCTACACACGACAACCAACACCCCCCCCCCCCTGGACCAATACCTTAAGTTAACAACGCACTTACATTTCAAGGACGAACAATCAGGACATGTTCCTTTCACTTCTGCCTATATTACCCTTACAACACGCGCTAGCCATGATTACAATTTTCACTTTACACCAATAATAATACACACCGCCTACCCCCCCCAACTGTAATGTCGCCACCCACCTACACATTCAAGATTTAACAGCCTCCTCTCCAGTGCAAATTATTCAACCGCAACATTTACATTCCCTCCATGTATCAACAATTCATTCTTAAACCTTCATTATATGAGTTCTTCCTCCTATGAAGGAGGTCACGCTTATTTCATGCAGTACCATTAACATTATAAACTATATTCCTTACTCCTATTAAATATTCTAATGGTTATCGTTACTAGCAGCTGTACGTCAAACAACCTACAGCTAAATATGTCTACGTCACTAAGACGACACCAAGGCAACGGATTTTCAAAACGTTCCCCCTCATGTCAAATTAAAGTGGTCTGGTTACCCGAGTACATAAACTCCCCATTAAACGCTTGGTGAGGGGGGGGGGGGGTTTACTACACCACTATCAACAACTTTTAAAGACACGACGCGCGAACCGTCAGCCAAAACCCTATCGACAGTTATTCAGTAGTCCTAACTTATCCTGCAGCAAAACTCAGTTTATAAAGTTCGAAAAATTAACACTTTTACACCACTGACTCACAGGTTAAGGCGCTTCAGTTTTCAATGAAAACACTCGCTAGGAGCGCCCCGCTATGCCTGTAGTAGTCGTCAAACTCCAACTTAACACCTCAATGTCCACCTCATACCATCCCCTCAAACTTCGTTATTCAACAACCAAAATACACTTATCTATTGCATCACCCCCAATCTACTGCCTTCAGACCTTGTTTTACATTTTTCACATAATCTAATTGCAAGTAAATCCCGTCCACCACGCCCTATCGTCATCACGTACATTTACTTTGCTACACCTCGAGTGGGTCACACGACGGCGTTAGGCCCGGAACACTTGCCTTAGTGGCCATGTTAACTAAACCCTACCTTACATTGCATGTAAAACTTGCTTTAACACCTTAATATGCTTACTCATCCGGTCTATACAGTTTCCCATTAACAACAAACTAACATGTTATTACTTCCTACTTTGTGTTATTGCACCAACTTCTCCATGGGACACTAATTAAATATGTCAATATTTAGTCAACGTTGACAAACTTACGAAATGATTATATCTTCAATACTTCCACTCACTATTTTATTCCCACTTTAATAACTTTCACAACGTGAACACTAATTCCTGCAAAACTACCTTTGTCACATTCAACTTCCACAACATTTAAGTGATAATAACTACTCTCGGCCGCCTAAACGTCACATTCAAACCCACACAATCACCTTTAGACTAGTAACGTGGCCCAACCTCCAACCTATCCACGATTATTCTACAATCGTAGTCACACACTGCAAAGTCTTCACGAATAGGGCAGTTGAAGCGTCTCTGTTCTTCCAGACAGCCCAGGGGTCCTGCCAATCTGTCCGCTATTACCTGCAACAAGGCAACCTCATGTTATCAATATAAATTATTCAATCATGCCTATACCATACCTTTAATTGCAACATGTACTTTCACTAAACTAATTTTATGCTCCCAATTTCTAATGCAATTTAAAAGCATAGATCCCACCTAGATAGTCAACGAGTTTTGCAGCTGTTACTTGTGGCCTCGACACCCTCTGAGCACCTAATACTATTAACCACTTCAGTCTCACTTTACTACGCTATCCTATTACAATATTACCACGCCTCTAAACTTACACTAGATATTCAATAACTACTTGCCTTAAACTCATACCGCCATCATAGATGCTAACTCACGCAGCACATCTTGCCAAACCGGGACATCTGCCACCACCTTCTGCTCGCCACCGACTTGATTCATCGGTCCACCACAACCTTAGTCTCTCCTCCACCTTCCTAAATCACCAGTCGGCTCATTTCACGCGATGCCTCGTCTTCCCACCATTACCTCATTCACTTAACGCTGAAAAACAAACATTACAATTCACTACACATTTATAAATATCTTTTAGTACTGATTACAGGTCACCACTAAAATATCTGCCTATAGATATATAATCCCCAAAGAGGGTATATACGGCTGCTGTAAAATATATATTTTTGACCCTATGTATTGGCGTTTTGCGGGTGTACAATATGAGTGTAAGCTAGGGGATCTGTCAGCCCTAGCGACCCCAAAGGGTAACGGGGTACCAGCTCAGAGTAACATCACGCCCTAACACTAACTTGTACACCACAACTATGCCAATACTGGGGTCAAAATAACGTTCCGTCGAGCCTCACCCACCAAGTCGACTCAACAGCCAATCACGTTTCGATTTTTCAATTGACGTCACATTCTCGCAACCTCTACTCTCATTGGTCGGCTCCACCTAATTGGATACTCTAGTAATTCATGACAATTATTTATTGAAACTCAAATATATACACCAAAATGTATACCCAATGTATGAGAAACATACATATACCATATGTATGAAAAACAATGTTTGACTTTACACTCACAAATGATGACTTTGGATTAATTATTATTATAATGATTAAATAATAATTATACTTATTCAAGCTGTAAGTACAGTACAACACAGTACACTATAGTATAGTACAGTACCGTACAGTACAATCCCCTACGGTACGATACATTACAGTACTATACATTACAGTACTGTAGAATACAGTTCCGTACGGTACAATACATTAACATACAAGAGATACTACATTACAATACAGTACATACAGTACCGTATCATACAGAACAGCCAAGGGCACAATGTAAATACTACAGTACAGTACAATGTAACACTACACAACACAGTACCATACAGTACAATATTAGGTAGTGCTTCGTTTTTATCAGTGCAGTAGTATAGTCAGTACGTAAATACAGTACGGTACAAAACAGTACAGTACAATGCACTACACTACAATACACTATAGGACACAACACTACAGTAACGTACACTCACACTTCGTTACTTGCCTTTCAAATGTACCAACGGCATCACAATTATAATTTTTTCTACTTAAATAACTATTTCTTGAACGTAACAACGCGTAATAAGCACAATTTTCACGTGAGATGGGGAGGGAGGAGATTGCTGCAATGGCGGTGTAACTGACGCTATTATTTTCTTCTTTATTTATATACAAGAAGGTACATTGTGTTTGTGAGAATACTAGTATTTACAATCTTGTGAACACACTAGTACGCGCGAGTATCACTAACGACCATTGTTACTGCATTATTACCTTTCCAACCCTTCATTTTCCTCTCTAAACAACACCAATGTTTATTTATATACGTGATTTAAGCCATAGCTGCACACTGCAACTAGTAATAACGATTACATTTAACATGCAGTCAAATAGTGTTTTACACATTTCTGCAAAGTCATCAGTCATTTTGAATAATAAAGATCTTGTGCTTTACAATTTCATCATTTCAACTCTTGTGAGTCGTTCTTTGGGAATGGCGCTATATTATGCTAACCTAAGCAAGCTACGCTAGACTCCACTAGGCTAGGGTAAGCTACGTAAGGTTAGATACAGTACCGTAACATATAGGGTACAATACAGTACATTGCAGTACAGAACATTATAGTACACTACCCTACAATACATTACAGTAACGTTCACTACAGTATACTACAATACACTATAGGACAATGCAGGATACATTTCAGTACAGGGTGCAGTACATTACAGAACAGTAAACTATAGTACACCATAATGCAGACCATGACAGTACAATACATTACAGGAAAGTGAAGTAAAATACAAAGTAATGTACTTTATTGTACATACAAGTACACTGGAAAATTTTCTACTAGAAATTCCGCTAAAATATCCTATTAAAAATTCCCTACAAATACTAGTAAACATTTCCAAAGAAATACTACTATAAATTCCCCTATAATTCCTACTACAAATTCCACTAGAAATCTACAAACTCCCCTACAAATCCTACTAGCAATTACCATAACAATCCTACTAGGAATCCCCTAAAAATCACTCATAATTCACCTATAAATTTTATTACAAATCCTACTATAAATCCTACAAGCAATCATACTAGAAATCCAACTAAGAATCCAATAAAAATCCGACTAGGAATCCCCTATAAATCCTACTCAAAATCTTACGAAGAATCCCATACAAATCCAACTAGAAATCATCTACAAATCCTACTAGGAATCCTACTACAAATCCTAATAGGAATCCTACTATAAATCCAACTACAATTCCCTAAAAATCCTACTAAAAATCCCAATATACTATTACAATATCCTACTATATCTATAAATTAGAAATCATACTAGCAATCATACATTTAATAACTAAGATTCTAAAAATCAAATCTATTACAAATCCTATTATTTCCTTCACTATTTAATAATATTATTCAATCTATATAAATGGAAATTTTCGTTTGTGCATAACTGATAATCAACTTAATTTCTTTACCGATTGCCTTGAAATTTTGACAAAACCTTGCCTTTGAATAGGCGCGTTTTTTTCATATACCTACTATATAGATGCCACACCTGTGACACGTCAAACTATCCTTTTCTTCCAAACACCACCATCTGTTGCATGTCAAAGCAACACACATGCTATACTAAATATGTTACAATTCCATTTCAATGTTTCTGATTGCAATGATAATTTGATTTTACATACATTCTAATTTATTTGCATTTGGATTTCATTATTTTGTGTGGATTGCATTGGAATTGAGCTGTGTCGTTTACCATACCAATCATTTCATGATTATAATTCATTTTTTCATATTTTCATTCCATTTTTTTTAACTGCAATTCTTATATTTCACAGATGGGAACATCAGATCACTTTATGTTCCAAATTTTCTCATGGGGGACATCACACCACTTGGGAACGCATCGTACGAGGGAGTGGGGAATGGTTGGGAGGCCGAGGAGACGGGTGAGGGCCGAATGGTGGGGAGGACTGGGGGACAAGGAAGGTTGCTGTGGGGTTGCAAGGTAGGTATTGAATTATTCAATAGATATTCTTCACTAATATTATTATTATTTACTATTCAATAATATACAATATTATAGATTATTAATATTATTCAATAATATTGATTATTATATTATTTAATAGTATTTACTCATTATTGATTTTTTCATTATTTTAATATTCATTATTATCTAATATTATTCAATAATATCCATTGTCAATATTATTGAATATTAGTCAATATGGATTAATATTCCAGAATATGGAATATTAAACATGGATCAATATTGTTAATTATTTATTATTCAATATTCTACAATATTATGCAATAATATTAAATATTCATTATTCTACATTTATTGCTTCACATTATTCTATATTTTATTAAATATTTATTATTCTAGAATACCGATTATATCTTTGCCCAAACGCCATTTCTACGTTAGCTGAACCTAACTTCTACCACTTTCCTTGGATTCTCTGTTCTCTTCGGATAGCAAAATACCCACAAATCCACAACCAGCAAGACGCTTCGTGCTCACATCTCAACTCCAAGTCCACACAACCGGCTCCAGCCGCCCACCGAAAGCGACACATGCCAGACTAGGTCCAGGAACAGTCACGACGTACTGTCCCAGCCACGACACCTCTTCCCAATGTCACCCCAGGACATGTTACCTGGCCCCAGGACTATATGCAACCGAGTATTTCAATTGCATTTAGTCCTACGGACCATTCACGCTTGTTCGCATCTGTGTTCCTCACGTGTGCCCCAAAGAATGAGGCGATTTCATAAAATGCTATGCCAAAGATTACAATCAGAGTGCCGGCGGCCAAGTGGTTCAAATAGCTTCGGCTATCACTACCTTCTGTCCGGTCATGATGGTGCCAGTTTTCATTTATTTATATCACTTCTGGGGTGTGATATATATATACACACACAGGTATACAGCTAGGATAATTATTCATCTACAATAATTATCCTAACTATATACATATAATAAATATCCTAGATATTCTATTAGAGGATAATTATTTTATATATATATTCTAGATATATATATATATTCTGATTATCTATATATATCGGATAATCTAGATGCATCCTATATATGCATCTAAAATATATATAATGTTCTACATATAATCTAATATTTTACTTATATTTCATTTATTTATGTAGTTTAAAAAATATTTACTGAACCATATGCCAGTAGATTTCACTACAAATGAATGCCTACAGTCTATGTAAATATCCAAAACAAAACTACCTATTACAATCTTGGTCGTAACTCCTAGTATCTAACCACACACTTATTACTGTGTACACAACTGTTGAAGATTACTAAAGGTTATTAACACTACTATGTTTGTGTATATTATTTAATGAGTTCTATTAGTCTGATGTTTCAGACTTATCAAAACTACATTCAAAAATCCCAACTTGTACATTACAAATCAACTAATACAATATTGAACATGGGATGCTAACAGTACACTCCTATAATAATGGCACATATCAGTTCTATATCCTAACTGATAAATATTACACGAATACCTTTGACATGCAATTCCACATTGAGGTCGTAACTCCCTTTACAAATCTATGCATAAGTATCCAATGATCAAACTAGATATAAAATTTAAGGCAAACATATCCATCGACACCACTTAATCTACAGACATGGCATCATCATCCTTATCTTCTTCCTTCTTACTGCCTTCCTCTTTACCTTTCTTCTTTCCAAAGGCCTGAAAGTAAAACAAAATATATGAATGATTGATTCTATAGTACCATGACTTATTGACAGTCCAAATACAATAATAAATATCATGTATGCTCTACTGTCCTAGTTGTATTTACAGGCAATGAACTACACTAAATCGACAACTAAACACTATCAAAATCCTATTGGTTTTTAAATCGACTTTTAAACCTAGGGATACTTGTCCAAACACTTGGTCATTAATTCAACAGTCAAATAATCTCTTCGGTTTATTATCCGAAACATTTCACTGTCAGTATGTATCCATAATTTGCCTCATAGTGCTGATTTGCCAATATCAAAGGTCTACTTATTGGATCACATGACAAAAGCTTATTACTGTATTCTACTGTATAGTGTGGGCGATACGCCAACATTTACTTTGTCGGTACTAACCAAACACCTCCAAATATCATGGCAGTGTGTGGTCACGTCACAATGACCTCAAGTAACATCCTTCCCAGTGATATCACACTACCCTATGACATCAGATAACGTACAACCTACATTAGCATGTGCATCTATATAGATTAAGTAATTATCAAAACAATGCACCAAACCAGGAAGGCTATGTAGCACCAACTGGCCGGAATAATCACAGCCCGCTAAATATCACTAAGGATGAAAAAATATGAGAACAGAAACGCACAAACCGAACGATACCAAATTTATCCTATTCACAAACATTTCGATCGAGGGACAAGTGACTGCAAGGGATAGTCGGAAAGCAGAGCATAGAGAATGCCATAAAGTTCTGCCGTGAATATGCCAAGTCTCCAGAGGCAGCCGACACATATATATCTGGTCAGGAAATAACTTATGTGATGGCCTACACTGTCTGCAATCTTAGACCCATCAGTGAAGATGGAAATGAAATGGGAGTGTGAAGAAAAGTGTTCAAGGAAAACGCATTTCTGAACTGTAGGAGGGGTCAAAGCTTTAGTAATGTGGCTCACGGATTTAATCAATTTACAAACGGACACCCTCCACAGGAGGGCAAAGATGGAGTACTAGGAGAAATATTGGTAATACTAACCGAAAGAGATTTTGCAGCCCACAAAACTTACCAGAAAGACGGAGATGGGTGAAGGGGAACATGAGGTACAGGAGGGGTAGGAGTCGAACGTCAAAGCACGACATAGAGGAGAAGCAGACAAGTAGCAAGCAGGGCAACCATAATCGAGTTTCGACAGTACGAGAGAGGAATGTAAAGAGGAACGTGCGCCTATCCGCTCCCCAAGAAGGACGAAGAACGACACGCTTCCAAGTAAAAGTCATAACACAAGTCTTAGTTGCAGAAAACTTAAAAGCCATGATTGGTGGCCAAAGACGGCATGTCATCAATCGCAAGTTGAAGCCGCCAGTGAAGGAGGGTGAATCATAACATTGACTGCAGAGGGCAAGATCATTAACATAGAGAGCACAGAAGACGCCAGAAGGAAGAGATGAAAGAAGACCATTGAGGGCAACAAGAAAAAGAGTAGTGCTCAGAACACTACTTTACTTTGGGATACACCTTCGTATTGCCACAAAGAGGCAGAGAGAGTTGCACCAAACCTCACTCTAAAGGAACGACGAGAAAGAGGAAGCTTTGGAAGAAGAGAGGGAGATTACCACCAAGACCAAAAGAACGAAGTTGGGAAACAATATGGTATCTCCAGGTGGTGTCATAAGCCTTTTCCAGGTCAAAAAGGACAGCAACAACAGAGGTCTTCGCAGCAAAAGCAGTACAAATATAGACTTCAATTTCACCAGAACATAAGTCGTGCTGCAGCACTTGCGAAAACCAATTTCAGAAGGGGGAAAGGTGGTGAAATTCTTTCAAGAACCACACCAGATGAACACTGACTATTCGTTCAAAGAGTTTGCAGACAACTTGTGAGGGCAATAAAGCAGAAATTCTTAGGGGGATGGGGGGGGGGGTCCCAAGAGACCCCGGTTTCCGAATAAGGAGTATAGCGGCACCGAGCCACTCCTCACGGACCGATGACGACTCCCAGACCTGGTTATATAGACTCGGTGAATACCGAGACATGCAAAGACGGACATGGGTATCTATATACACGTTCAGACAAATAAAATCGTAACTTTTCAACAAAACTAGCACATACAATTCCTGCGAACCGTACTGACTACGTGTGTCCGCTCTACATTACTACCCCACGTGGTGACAACTACTAAATCCAAGAATACTAGTGCTTTATGTTTAACAACAAATGTCCCCCCTCCCTCCCCCAACAGAAAATCCACCTTCACAGTTTTCATTTTAAACTGTTAATTTTCATTAAAACTCGTCTCCCATATAAAGTTTTCATACTAATGACTCAAATCTATCCATTATATTTTAAACAATTAAAATGCTTATAACAACATTTGCTTCCAAACACACCATTGTAAATGTCCCAGCCCAAAATAAAATATTGTTCTACTTATATTTTCTCAAGACATTATATACATAGTAAGAGGTATTGGCCAATGGATAGTGAACACAATGTAAGCAACCAACCTTAATAAATGCTTCCATATCACATGACGAGGCAGCCAAAACAGCATCCTCTCCAAGACCAAACTGGTTAATGAGAGGGCCTAACTGCCCAGACTGAAGGGCACTGCTGAACAAACTCACAGCCTGAAAATACCATTAAGAACTTAATACAGTACATACTGTACATACTTTTATATGAACAATAATGACCTTTCGAGTGACACCTTCCAACTTTGAACCTGCCTATCATGGATCCCTCAAAAAAATGTTTCATATGAAATTGCATATTGTGATTATTAATATACATAAATCTCCACAAATAAGTATTTCCTAATTCTGATCATCATTCAGTAGACCTCAGTGCGATAATTGTATTCTAAAACATTATCTCCTAAAGTGTTAAATGGAACAAGGTTAAGATATCACACAAAATATTGTGTTAAAACTACAATTTTCACCCATGGGAAAGTCAAATAGCCCCATTCACTCATGGTCCCACCTTTGACAAACTCTTAAGAGCTGCATCCTCATAAATACTATAAATGAGAATCAATCTATTGATGGAAACAATCTATACACCGGTTCTCCTACTAGTTGACCATCATACCAAATGGTAGCACATCAATTTCACAGTGAAGTTGCCCAAAACTTGGGAAAAATGAATGATCAAACTCTTTAAAAATTGGATGACTCCTTTCAATAACAACATTTAGCCCTTTTGGAAACAATATTGATTAAATTTAAATTAACATTCTGTAGTTCTTACTCATTTTCAGGTATACATCAATATTATACAATATTTGCAAATGTAAATAACATTCCACACATCCTTACGTCACTAACATGTACATTAACTCTAGAACAATGATTTGTATAAGTCAACATGTTAATTATTTCACCTTAGCACCCTTAGATATCCAATTACAGAACCACTGTATTCTTGGCACCTTGCAAACACTTCTTAGATGGTTTATGTTCACCACCAGGTTATCTTTGTTGACCATGTCAGCTTGGTGATAAAATAACCATACTACATATTTTTTATCATTACTTTAGTACCTCTTTCTAGTACAGAACTTTCGTGTTATACACGTTTCCTTTCATTTAGCATTATTGGCAACTTGAAAGACTAGACATCTAGCACCTGATGGACTCTGATAAAACCTTTTACATGAAGATAATCTATCTTAACCCTTGAACTGCACATTTAATTTTTGTACTGTCCAACCAGTATGTAAACACAATTCACCCCTAGGGCAAACTCACACTACGTACAAGTATTGAAAGCATTTAACTGTGCATTTGCATTTTGGTGTCCAAACCCAACCTGCCACGACCACCACCAAACATGTACCTGCAGAGAGTTTCAGGATTTCTTCTACTCCAAGCCCAGCCTTGGTATATTCAAGATGTTATAGTCCTTTGCTGTAGTTATATATACAAAGTGGAAGGGCATTATATAAATTTTTTAGGTAAAACAAACCGTCAAGGTTTATGTTACATCAAGGCAGAGTGTACACGTTCTTTAACCTTTGTAGGAACAAAAGCTTCCAAAATAAGATTACTAGTTTCAAAATGTCACAGATCAGCTGGGTTTTCATGGATCCGTGGCTCACGACCAACAATGACGCTACGAAGTTTGATCTTGCCAAGAAAGTTGCCTCAAGCCATATAAATTATGGGTGTGTACATGCATACACGAGTACTGTATATGCATGGGAATACAAATTATGTACTGTATATCCATTAAGTTAAGAGGCTAGGTGCCCTTAAGTACATAATATTAATTATATATAATACAATTACAGTGGTACCTCCATTTAAGAGTTTAATCCTTTCCCACAGACGGTTCGTAAGCCGAAAATTTGAAAACCAAAGCGAATTTCCCCATAAGAAATAATGTAAATTTCATTAATCCGTTCCACACGCCCAAAAATATTAACTTCAAAGTCAATTTTATACTTAATTCACCCAAATCTTGAGTACTAGAGTATGTACAAGTTATTGCTTACCTTTACTGATGACTTGTTGGTGTATGGAAGATGGTGAAGAAGGGGGGGGGGGAAGAGAGGTGTTACTGTTTGGAAGGGGGGGGGGGGGAAGTCCCTTTCAACTATAACATCAGGAAGTGATGACTTGGGTACTCTGTTTTGCAAGAGAACTGTACCACTAGGACCTGGCTGTGGCTCACTGCTTGCTTGTCTTGCTAAGAATCTGTCTAAAGACACTTGTTTTTCCCAACATTTTAACACTTGTCTGTAGTGAGACATCACATTGTAATTTAAAAGGTCAATGCAATGGCCTGTTACAGCTTTATCTGAGCGAGTTTTTTCAACAAAATTTTGCAGTTCTTCCCATACATCACACATTTTCTTAATGAGGAAGGGACATCCTCTACTGTCTCAACTCGACTATTTTCTTAGGTTGAACCTTACCACAGACTTTCTTGGTACCCATGGCAAGATATATAACAACAACTTATGTTCAAAAACCCCAAAACCCAACAAATACTGAAATTCTTTACAAAGAATTCAAGCATGATGGCACCGGTAAACCGAGGCGCAGTGGCTGTGCCACCATGCGCTAGGTCGGCCATACGCGTACCAACAAACTTCGTTACCCGAGGCAAAGTTTGTTATCCGATTCAGATTTCACAAAGAAATTGGGCTCGTAACCCAAAAAGTTCGTAAAGAGGGGCATTCATAAACCGAGGTGTGTCTGTATTAAATTAATATACGTACTACATATTAAACCCAGACAAGCATATTGTACCTGCTGGAACTGAGGAGAAGTGACTGTTCCTCGGAGTTGTTCAGTAGGAGGTAACTCATCAGACGTTGCAGGAAGATAAGGACGAAGTTGATTCACAAAATCTTCATTGGTCAAGATCGGCTGAAGAGCTTCTGCAGTCATGGCCGAACTCAGATCCACTTTTGGAAAAACAAAGATTTACAAATACAACTAACAATCAATATATATTGTACATTTATAGGAGTGGTAATGAATAATACTAAATTCTTACAATGGGTATCAATTAAATGTGTGACCGCCTACGATATGCATTACTCACTAAAACCTGTAAAAGGGCACGACACCTCTTTTAAAGATAAGGAAAAGCGGCAAGTGATAATTTCCTTCTTAAGCATACCAGGTAATGTCTATAAAAATTATAACTTAAAACTATTTACAAAATAACAGGACAGAACTTTAAAACAATATTGGGGATACATCTTTCAAATGCTCTTCTACAATGATAGTTGAAGATTACTTGTGTGGAAAAGACTGAAAATATAAGGTACAGCACGAAAGATAATACTGTACAGAATGTTGTCAATTTCCCATCCCCCTCAATTTTGCCCTTAACCTTGTTACAATATGTGTGATAAAACTTTAGCCAATACTTCAAAAACAATATCTTTTGGCCTACAGTATCTGAGCCAGACCTATGCCCTACTGGTATAAAAATCACAATGTTCTTCTTGCAACCTATCTTTCCACTTTAATGTACTTCTAATTTTAATGATAAATTCACAACATTACTTTCCTAATATACCTAGTGACCCTACCAGTTCACAAACCATCTCCTTAAAGAACCTTGATGCTAGGAATTAATTTCCTTTCAAAACTGAAGACCTTGCGTCATTTCTCACCAAACACCCCTCATACAAGTACTAGCAACTTGTCTTACCTGCAACCCTGGGTGAACCTGACACATCCGGTGGAACAGAGATCCCAGAAAGGATATTCTGTAAATCTGACAACTGAATCGGCACAACACTGCCACTGCCAGGAGTGGTACTATTACTTTCCCGGCTATTGCTCCCACCTCTAGCAGAATCTGAAAAATTATATACATAAATAACTAACTTTTCTCAACAACAATAATAATCCCCTAATGAAAGACTCTGTCCCTTGGTGGCATTTACCCAACAATTGGAAATATTCTAAACAAACCTTCAGCTATTCCACAATGACATTCTTCTTTGGCTTCCTTTTTTAAATTAATTTTATCTACACGAAGACTTGCAGTGTATCTATTTTCAGATGAGCGTCTGCATAAGGAGCGTCTGCATGGGAGCCGGTCGGCCGAGCGGACACCACACTGGACTTGTGATCCTGTGGTCCCGGGTTCGATCCCAGGCACCGGCGAGAAACATTGGGCAGAGTTTCTTTCACCATATGCCCCTGTTACCTACCAGTAAAATAGGTACCTGGGTGTTAGTCACCTGTCACGGGCTGCTTCCTGGGGGTGGAGGCCTGGGCGAGGACCGGGCCGAGGGGACACTAAAGCCCCGAAATCATCTCAAGATAACCTCAAGGAAGGTCACTTATTTGTTTATTATAAGATTATATTTACATTGTCACTATGCAGATGACAGTCTGCAAGTGTCCGGGTAAGCCCTGGTCCAGGCTTGGGTACTCACCGAGGAAGGCCCTACTCAAACAATAGTAGCTGTTGAGCTACTTTCCTCAACTGCAATGTTAGTAACCATACATTTTGCCAGTATTCTTTGGCATTTTAGGTTAAAATTCAATACAACTGGCATTTGAGATTATTGTATGAAAACTTTGAGGATTAAAATATAAAATATTGTATAACAAAAGTAAGTAAGTATCAAAAGAAGGCACCAAACCGGGAAGGCTATGTAGCGCCATCAAATATGCAAAATAATCAGAGGGCGCTAAATATCACCAAGGATGCCAATACGAGAACAAAAACGCATAAGGCGAACGATATCAAAAGTATCCGAGTCACCAAGAATTCTATCGAGGGACAGGTGACCGCGAGGGGCGGTCGGAAAGCAAGATACACGCTCGTCCTGGAAGTCGGGACATTCAAGAAGGACATGCACGACCGTAAGAGGGACAATGCAACTAGGACAATAAGGAGCAGGGCGGTGCTCCATCAAGTGACCATGGGTTAAGCGAGTATGGCCAATACGCAACCTCGCCAGAGCTGTTTCCCACCGCCGGTTACGGTGGAAGGAGGACTGCCACGAGGAAACACAACATTTAAGAGTACGTAGCTTATTACCAGTAACAGACAACCAAGAAGCCTGCCAACGGGTAAGGACTGAGGAATGGATAACCGGGTAAAAGTCGGAATACGGAATGCCCTTACGAGAGATGGGACAAGAGCGGACAGCTTCCTTGGCGGCAGCATCCGCACGCTCATTTAAAGACACACCAATATGGCTGGGAACCCAACAAAACTCAACCGACTTAAATTTACTGTGAACGAGAAACAGCCAATGCTGGATCTCGACAACCACTGGATGAACCGGATTAAAGGACCCGAGAGCCATGAGGGCACTACGAGAGTCAACAACAACTACAAAGGAAGACTGACAACGAGAAAGCAGGAGACGAAGAGCATAGAGAATAGCATAAAGTTCCGCTGTAAAGATGCTAGTCTCCGGAGGCAAGCGACACATATAAGTGCGATCAGGAAAAACAACAGAGTAGCCAACACCGTCCGCTGACTTAGACCCATCGGTGAAGACAGAAACGGAGCAGGAGTGAGAAGAAAAGTGCTCGAGGAAAAGGCGTTTTAGAATCGTAGGAGGAGTAAAAGCTTTAGTGATACGGGTCAAGGATGTACAAAACCGCGGAAGAGGGACCCTCCACGGGGGCAAAGAAGGAACAACACAAGGAGAAACATCAGAAATACGAACGGAAAGAGAATCCTGCAGGCGAGATAACCGGACAGAAAGAGGGAGGTGGTGAAGAGGAACAGGAACTGCAGGAGGGGTAAAAGTTAAAGCACGACAGAGGCGAGAGGAAGGATGTTGCAAGGACCGCGCAAGATAGCGAAGACAGTAGCGATCACGGCGGTCCTGGAGAGACAGGAAGCCAGTGTCAACATACAAGCTAAGGACGGGAGTCGAACGAAAGGCACCAGAACTGAGGCGCAACCCAGTATGGTGCAAAGCATCAAGACGGCGAAGAGTAGAAGGAGAAGCAGACGAGTAAGCAGGGCAACCATAATCGAGCTTAGACAGGACGAGAGAGGAATGTAAAGCAAGGAGAGTGCGCCTATCTGCCCCCCAAGAAGTATGGGACAAGACCCGAAGGAGGGTAAGGGCCTTAGAGCACTCAACACGGAGGTAAGAGATATGGGGAGACCAAGACAAACGAGTGTCAAGGAATAACCCCAAAAGCTTCGCGGAATCTTTGTATTCAAGGGGATGACCATAAAGTGACAAAGAGGGACGAAGAACAACCCGTTTCCGCGTAAAAGTCATGGCACAAGTCTTAGAAGTAGAGAACTTGAAGCCATGATCAGTGGCCCAAGACGACACGGCATCAATGGCAAGTTGAAGCCGGCGTTGAAGGAGAGGCGAATCATCACCCTGACAACTAAGGGTAAGATCATCGACATAGAGAGCGGAGAAGACACCAGAAGGAAGAGAGGAAAGAAGACCATTGAGGGCAACCAGAAAAAGAGTAGTGCTCAGAACTCTACCCTGGGGCACACCTTCGTATTGCTGAAAAGAGGGAGAGAGAGCGGTACCAAGGCGCACCCGAAAGGAACGACGAGAAAGGAAGCCGCGGAGAAAGAGAGGGAGATGACCACGAAGGCCAAAAGAATGAAGTTGAGATAGGATATGATAACGCCAAGTGGTGTCGTAAGCCTTTTCCAGGTCAAAAAGGACGGCAACAACGGAGGTCTTCGCAGCAAAAGCAGTACGAATATAGACCTCCAAGTTCACCAGGACATCTGTCGTGCTGCGGCACTTGCGGAAACCAAATTGAGAAGGGGAGAGGAGGTGATGGTGTTCCAGGAACCACATCAGACGAACGTTAACCATACGTTCAAAGAGTTTGCAGACACAACTTGTGAGAGCAATAGGGCGAAAGTCCTTAGGGGAAGTACCCAGAGACCCCGGTTTGCGAACAGGGAGGACAACGGCATCGAGCCAGTCCTCAGGGACTGACGACGACTCCCAGATCCGATTATACAGACTCAGTAAATACTGAGACGTGCTCGGAGGGAGATGGCGAAGCATCTCATAATGAATACCATCGGAGCCCGCCGCCGTAGAACCGCAGAGGGCCAGGGCAGAACGAAGTTCAGAGAGAGAGAAGGGATCATTATAGGGAAGCTGAAGATGAGTGCAGAAATCTAAAGGACGAGACTCAAGGACAGGTTTACGAAGAAGGAAAGATTGGGGAAGATGAAGACCAGAGCTAACAGAAGAAAAGTGGGAACCCAGTTCGGAAGCGACCTGCAACGGGTCCGCCACAAGAGTATCATGGAGGTGAAGGACCGGTGAAACATCGGGAACGAACTTACCCGCTATCTTGCGGATACGCTTCCAGATCTGGGCCAGAGGGGTTTCGGACGTAATTGTTGAGACATAAGATGCCCAACATTCACGTTTAGCCGTACGGATGGCCCTACGGGCCACCGCACTCGCTTTCCGAAAGAAAAGAAAAGAATCGGTCGTCTGCCTACGGCGGTGCCTCTTCCAGGCTGCACGCTTACAGCGGACAGCCCAAGCACAGTCCGCATTCCACCAGGGAACGCACTTCCGTGGACCCCGAGAGGAAGAGCGAGGAATAGAGCGGAGGGCAGCGTTGAAGACAGTGTCATGAAAAAGGAGGAGAGCGCGAGAGAGGGGCAGAAGGGAGAGGTCAGAGAGAGTAGCACTGAGGGAAAATACGGTCCAGTCCGCCTTAGCAAACTGCCACCTAGGGAAAGAGAGGGAAGGGCGAAAAGAGAAAAAGGAAACAAGGATGGGGAAATGATCACTTCCATGGAGGTCATCAAGAACCTGCCACGTGAAATCTAAGTAAAGAGAAGAAGAGCAGAGAGAAAGATCAAGACAAGAAAGGGTGCGAGTCCGAGAGTCCAAATGAGTGGGCTCACCAGAATTCAGAAGAGACAGGGAAGAAGAGAGGAGAAACGGCTCAAGGAGGCGACCCTGGGTATTCGTCAGAACGTCACCCCAAAGTGAATGACGACAATTGAAGTCACCCAGCAGGAGCACAGGCTCCGGCAAGGAGTCCAGGAGGTGTTCAAATCAGGAAGAGAGAGCGGGACACTCGGGGGAGATAAATGGAACAAACTGTGTACCATTTCCCCACAAAGATACGAGCAGCAGAACAATGGAGAGGCGAAGGAAAAAGTAAAGGAACAAGGGGAGCATCAGCCCGAATCAAGAGAGCAGAAGAATTAGAAGCCCCAGCAATGGCTGGGGGGGGGGGGAGAGAAAGGAATAGCCACGAAAACGACCAGGACGAGCACCAAGCATTGGCTCCTGGAGACAGACACAAAGGGGCGAAAACCACGAAATCAGAAGTTGGAGTTCGAGGAAATTGGCGTAATAACCTCGAACGTTCCATTGAAGAATGGACAACGACGAGAAGAGAAAGGACAAAAACAGAGAACAAGGAAGAAACAAAGGCGAAAGAGCAACAGAGCACGTTAAAGAATATCAGGGTCGGGATCAGGGTCAGCAAAGTCAGGGTTAGGGGGCATGGGTAAACTGAGCAAAGACGGAGGGAAGGAAACGGGAGAACAGATAAGAGGTGGGCGGGCGGGGTCCGGAGGAGGAGGAGGAGGAGGAGGAGGAGGAGGAGGAGGAGGAGGAGGAGGAGGAGGAAGAAGAGGAGGAGACAACGGAGAGGAGCAGTCAAGGACAGCAGCAGGAAGAGGGGGAGTAGAAAGAGGGGAGCGCACCTCAGCAAGAGCAGCAACCGAAAGGGAAGCAGGGGCCAAAGAAACCCCCAAAGCAGGAACAGGGGGCGCAATCACTGAAACGGGAGGGGAAGGAGCAACAGAGCCAGAAGTAGGAGCCGAGGAAGAAAGCGAAGCCTTCTTACCCGCCGGGGAAGAGGAAGGAGAGGAGCCAGGCTTTCGCTTCTGACTTAAAGAGACCGGTGTCCCAGCAACTACGTACCGGGCAACGGATTCCAGTGTCTCAACAGGAGAAGCCGAACGAGAGCACACACGACGGCCGTTAGGAGAGCGATGGACATCCGCCCGCACCGACAGGCGGTGGGGAGAGCCGATAGATGGAGGAAGAGGATGGGAAGGAGGATCGGAGGGGGACGAGGAAGAAGACATAGGAGACACGACAGACCGGGTAGAAGGAAGGGGAACCCCAGACAGAGGACCAGGAGGAGGATCCTTCGGGAGAGAACCCATAGGAACAAAGGAGGGGGCAGTGGGCGCATCAGGGTCCAAGGCCCGGAAACGGTTGTGAGTCTGAGGAAGGCGGGAAGGACGAGGAGAGGAAGAGCGCAACACGCGAGCATAAGAGATATTAGCATAAGGCGGGAGCCGGCGAACCTGGCGCCTCGCCTCAGGAAAAGATAAATGCTCCCGGTGCTTCAGGTTGAGGACAGCTGCCTCAAGCTTGTAATGGACACACGCACGGGAGAAGGTAGGATGGGCCTCACCGCAGTTGAGGCAACGAGCCTGGGGAGAAGTGCACTCCGACTTAGAGTGACCTTCACTCCCACACAAAGGACAGAGAGAGACAGTCCCAGAGCAGCGGAGGGCACCATGCCCAAACCTCCAGCACTTGTTACAAAGTCGAGGAGAAGGAATATACTCCTGGACAGAGCACCTAGCACCAGCAAGAATGACAGAGGATGGAAGGGTCCTACCATCAAAGGTGACCTTCACAACGCGAAGGGGTTGACGGCGACGACCACGAGGGGGACGAGTAAACGAGTCAACCTGGAGGACAGAATGGCCTTGGGCATCAAGGATATGCCGAATATCATCGTGGCAATCCTGCAGATTCCGAACACCGGTTGCAACATGGGGTGGGAGGAGAATAGTGCCAACACTGGCATTCATCTGAACGTTCTTGGAGACCCGAACAGGGGTCTCGCCAAGGCAAGATAAGGCAGCCAAGCGGGAAGCCGCATCCTGAGAAGGAGCAGCAACGACACGTGTACCGAGACGAGTGGGGTTGAAAGTAACAGACGCATCCACGGAATCTACAAGATGCCGATGGAGGGAGAAATCGTCAGGAGGCGCAGAATCAAGAGGTAGGAGATCAAAGTATTTGGCCCATGAAGCAGGACCAAACAAGGCCTGATACGCATCGGCACGAGAAGGAATCGAGCGAGTGCGGTTGGGGCGCGAACGGCGTTGAGAACCCCTAGAGAGAGAGGGGTCAAAAGGCGCAGTAGTCACAACGAAAGACTTAGCCACACCAGGGGACGAAGTGGTCACCACCGGGGGCTGGAGGCTCGACCCAACCACAGAGGAGGGAGGGGAGCTGGGGGAAGAAGTCAGGACGGTCAAAGGAGGAGCAAGGTCGGGGCCCAACGCAGCGGGAGCTACAGAGCCTGGTCTTCCAATACAGGCCGACTCGGGGGCTTGGTCGCCCACCCCACGAGCCTGAGAGGGTACAACGGAAACATTCAACGACATAGAGACGAAAAATGACAAATTCATCCACGAATGTGCCCCCATACCCACCATAGAACCACAATTAGAGGCAGGACACCCAACAGGAAGCTATCGCCGATCATGCCGGGGCCCCCTAGGGGTGCGTCGTGAGTATACTCCCCACAAACGCCACCTTAAGAACCGTCAGTCCGTCGAGATCGGGTTCAGCGACGAAAGGGGGATTGACAATAAAAGGTTCCCCTCGCTCGAGACGTTGGGTACTACAGTTCTACGGGTGCAAGAGTATGCCTCCTCAAGCACCCGGGCGTCAAAATAAAAGAAGTCCAAAGAAAGAATCCAAAACAAGCAAAATGTCGGCAGGAAACGACAAGCAGATAGGAGAAGAGGGGGGAGAAAAACGAAACATAAGGAAAAGGAAAAGCGATCCGGCACAATTGGAGAAGACAGCAGCAGGAGTGCAAGGCCAGAAAAGGACAGAGGACTGCCCAACGGAGCATCACACTCCGGCAGCCGTCCACCAAGCCCCCTCACGACGCCAACGGGCCGGATGGGGAGGGGGTTGTATAACAAAAACTACAAAATACAATACTGTATCTATTAAAATACAAATATTGTGTAATAAAATGTCATTACAAATAAAATGGGCGAAGGCACATATGTAAAGTGAATTTTTTTTTTCAAGTGTTCAGGTATGTGTAACCAGACTCAAAGTTTTCGGTCTCTTGGTGATCAAATTCCAAAGGGTTTTCTATAGATAAACAACAGTATACAATATTAAACCAAAGAGACATGAAAACCTAAACATTACAAAAATCTTGCAAGTTGTTATCCGCTGTATACGTCATGTTCACTAAATGTTTCTACTTGCTTACAACACTAAGATATGCTCATTAATACGAAGACACACCAAGTCACTATAACTATATATTGTAAAGCACACAGTGGGGATAACTAATGCACAAGAACTGGGATACAAAGACATGCGAGGGAATGGGGGCCCAACCACTTATCAGTAATATAATGCTGACCCCCTGAAAGATGCCAGACCATCGCTGTTCTCAGTGCTGTACCAACGTTTAGAACAGGATTCGAGCTGAGGCGAGTTTCAAGTTTAAGACTAATTTCTATATAGTGCCTACAAACACATTTACATCTGTATGTTCTACTATACCTTGAGCAGGGGTAGGTGCAGGTGTCGGGGTGGTGGTAGCAGCTGGAGTGGTGGAAGCTGTTGTTGTGGCAGAAGTCGAGCTGCTACTTCCACTACCGCTTCGACCCCCACCACTGCCAGACCTACTGCAAATATTTGAAAATAAAATTGCCAACCAATTATTATGATTTAACAACTATAAATAATCCTCAAGTTGGGCTCAACATTTATGTTTTTCCATGAAAATAAAACAAGGGGGAGGATCAAAAGTACAAGTACCAGTACAAGCCCAAAATACATATTTGAAAACATATATCCAAACACATTATTTAAACAACACTATTTACTTTAACATGTCTGCCATTATGAACACAGCTCTATAGTACTCGGCAAATTCTATACCAAAACATGACAGTCCAAACCCTTGTTCTCAACCAATCAAACGAAGCATTTTAAATTACAAAATACTGTACGCTTAATAGAAAATGCTCCCCAAATCTCAAATTACTTGCTTTCTGAAAGCATTTCTGCCACATTTGTGTTTAGTTTTACAATATTTATACTTTTCTACACTAAAATGACATGCCAAATTTCTTTCAATACTCTGTTAAGTTCACTACTACTACTGGTTAAAATCTTGTCAAACTAGCTAATAAACTATTTAAAGAAATATTTATACAAGGTTGTCTCAATACATATTTATATAATAAACTAACCCTGGACCAAGCAGTGTTGCCAAACTGGACATTCCACTTCCCAAGATCTGCATCAGCTGTTGTTGCGAAATATTCCCAAACAGATTCTGGATATCAGAATCCCGTAAATTGGTAATTTCCGATCCCAGAGCAGGATTTGCAGTTGAACCAGATTTTTTTTTTTTTTTTTTTTTACATGCAGAGCATGCAAATTAATACAATAAAAATACAGAATACATAAAGGAAAACAATAGACCACCGGCCAGAAGGGCCGACAGCCGAGCACAACAAAACAGCATAGCACAACAAAACACATACACAAGAAAAACATGAAAAATACAGCATACATCAAAACATAAAACAGAATACAATGGCAATCCAGCAATCACAGTACAAAACAACACCTCCAAAAAACAAAACATACAACAAGAGGCAACAGGTAAAGCAACAGAAAATCAATACATTAACGCCCCGTAACAAAAGGCGAGGCCAATTACAATAAAAAAGCAGGCAAAAACACAAGTCACTAAACACCGGCCTGAAGGGCCAACATCAAAAACACAAGAAAACAAAAGAAAAATAGAACACACAGCAAGCACACAGACTACGAAAAGATCTCATACTTGTCCGGCCACTCTTCCGCCGGGAAGCGAATACAGTACGCTACCCAAAGTAACAATGTCCTCCGAAACATGGTCACTATTGAGCGTACGAGGATCGGGCATTAACTCTGGCACACCCACAATAAAACACTTAGCCCGACGAATCCAGATGGTAGAAGGGCACCACGGAGCAAGACGCACACGGTCAACAATTTCAAAATGCAACGGATGGTCAGCATCCATCGCCACTCCGGAGGCCAAGATGAGAGGGAGAGGCTCCTTCCCAAGAGGCCGGGCAATGGGCAGCACACTGGGAGCCTCCTCAGCTGCCTCACAGGGCTCCTCGGCAACCACTGAACGTTGCACCTGCCGGGACCCCCCACGCTTGGCATCCTTTTTCAGCACCAGCTTGATGCCTCGGCTCGCACCAGGATCCACACCATCCACGCCCGTAGGAGCAACCACCTCCCACTGCGGAGAACCTTCTGCAGGAGAAAGAACAGGAGGTAAATTAGACGCACAATCATCGTCAACAGCCGACACATGGACATCAGCCACCACCAGCGTCGTAGAGCACGAGGCACCTGGAACCGCCACACCATCTCCCGAAGCTCCACCCGCGTCGTAGTCCTCCATATCAGCCCAAGCAGTAGAAGAGCGCCTAGAACGCTTGGGCACTGGCCGCACATCCTCACAGCCGGAGGCGGACCCAGAACCACGGCCCTCACGAACCGGGCGAACCAACGCCCGTCGCAGTACTTCAGCAGCCTCAACCACATGGGGAACTGGGCCGCACACAACAGGATGCTCCGCAGCACCCCCAACACCCAACACAGCCGGAACACCTGGCGAGGGCGCAGGACCAGGCGCAGCAGCAGGAGTCGAGGAAGACGCAGACGCACTCGGCTGAGGGGCAACAAGCACCGGGGGCATGCCGGGTGACGCAGGAGGGGCCGCATCAGCAGCGACTGGGACCTGCTCCACTTCATCTCCGGAATCCACGCCCTGAGGGAGCGGCGGGAAATCCTCCTCCCGGAATAAGTTAACGGGCGCAGCAGGTGTCTCAGAGCACCCGGCAGCCTGATGCCCCAACTGGCCACACCGGAAACAAGTACGGGGCTGCCGGGCATAGTACACCCGAACGTAGTAGCCCACAGAAGATGGGATATCCGACCGCAGGCGCATACCTAATGTACGGACATTCGTCTGCTTCCCAGCATACTTCCCCGACGACAGCTTGTTCACCCGCACACTGATGACTGCACCATACCTCCCGAAGAAGCGCCGGAGAAGGTTTTCAGGGAACTCCAGGGGCGCACCGTGCACACTGACATATGTCAGGGCACCACTTCGGTCCGAGATCGTAACGGAGCCGGCGCCATCCGGCAACTGCAATGAACGCCCCTCGTTCCGCCGGAGGAAGTCCCGATACTCCTCCTCCCCCACGAACTTGACAATCACCCGGTGGGCCGTAACAAGCTCAACGCCATACACAGCTTCCACCTGGACACGAAGCATGTCACACATAACTAACTCAACGGCCGGATAACCAGCCTTACACGTGAATTCCAGTCCCACGGAATTTACCCTCAACACAGGAGGAATAGCCAGGCCCCCCATGGCAAAACGGCCACGTCAGCACGCAGCCAGGCAGGCAACAACACTGGACAGGGAGGGTAAGAGACCCCCACACCCCCTGCCGGCGAAAAAACTGCAACCTCCCCAAACTGCCGGAGTGTTCAGACGACACGTCTTCACCCTACGGCTGCTCAGGTGGCACAGTTGAACCAGATGGGCGCTGTGACCCTGGAGCTGGTGGATTATTGAGTAGTTCATTCACTTTGCGAGACTGCTCATCATCCTTGTCCGTCTTGGGCTCCTAAAGTAAAAAAAAAAAGATTTGCTGCATTTAAAATACAACCTGCTTGGGTATGATTACCAAAATGGTCTCTATACTGTATATATGTTTTATTATCTGCTATAGATGGTGCATTACCTTCCAGCACATTATTGTAAACACCAATTCACAATACACCATCGAGCCCTCGGCACATTAGACAAATTACCATTGGTTAGTTCAGCAATCTTACCACCTATGGAGGCAAAACCTTAAAGTACGCAAATATTGTGGAAGTTCATGATGTGCCACATGTCATTTATATCGAGTTATTTGCTGTAAATGTAAACACCTACTACAGTACTTAATAATTTCTACTTTAAAACTACTAGTCTTTACTTGCCAATACATTTTGCCCTTCTATAACAATTTATCAACAACCACAAATTCAATATCATATACAAGTACACTATTTTTTTTTACCTGCATCCAAAAGAAGAGTCGTCTGCTTGACGATTTAAACTTGAGTACATAAACTCTACCAGTCGTGCACTGTGACACACGCTTATATTCACAGTCATCAGGGAAAATAATCACATCCTGAAAAATAACAGCTTACTTTAACATTTATTCTTTCAAGCCACATTTCAATTAAAAAAAATAAATAATTAAGCATTTGACAATCTATACATGCAAGTGCTTGGCAAATAAAATTTGGGTCAGATTTGTCCCTGTAGACTTTATACTGATCTACCAAATGTATCACTTTTAATATAAGATTGTCCATCAAAATCCATGCATTATTTCAGCAGTTTGACAGCCACCTACAATACTTTTGCTTGACTATGGTTACAATGGTTACCAAACATTTATATTCTGAAGATAAAACTGCCTTGCCTTTCAATTGATGTAAATGTCCTACCTCTTCAACTGTTCCAGTGCCACGGTCCTTCCAACAGATATGCATAAGGGAATCATCTGCTTGGTACAGATACACCAAACCCTTCCTCTTGTCTGGGTACACCATCTGTCCTTTGGTGTACATCTTCCAAGCCTGTAGATTACAACAAATTGAGCTTTCGTCAAATATGTCAAGCTAAAAACCACTTTAATCAGAGCATCTTTGACTGCAAGACAGATGGAATAATACACCACTAAACGCTTCAAGAATACTTAACATCAGAAATTGACTGGGTGAATCTTCCATCAATAATTATAAATAAATTTAGTACTGTATGTTTGGACAAATAGCCATAATGCAATCACAAAAATATTAAGGTTAACCTATCAATAGACAGGTACTGTACGACTCTTAGACACATGTGAGTAACAGAGTGACTTGCAATTCCCAATACATTATTTTTATAGGGCCACACAACAGAACCTCATGCTCCTCCAAAGGGGAAGACATGAGGACAGAAACCTCCAGAAAGATGCCTACCCCCATGGAAACCCAAAGGAACTCCGAAAGCAAAATTGAGAGGGAGTCGAACCCAAGTCTAAAAACGTACAGGTATGAAATATCCCACTCCTGCATGAAAATACCATGCATGAATATGAAAATACCCCACCCCAGCAGGAGTATGAGTAGCCTGGGAGAAGCTTCGGCACAGCTTGTTTTAACAAAATAACTGGTCACACAGACCACAATGCATCCCACCAACCAAAACACTCCCAAACCAAGGAAAAACAAAGTCACAGATTTACTTATTAAAGGCTTTAATATATTTAATTTATTCAATAACACAGATTAAAGGTTTACCTTAAGGGCGAGGACCACCACAAGTGAGGAAGCCCCCCTGAAAGGAGTGTTGACTGAATGCCCCCAGAGAAAGATAACCTTCAACATGCAAGGCTAGTACTTACAGAGCGCACAGGGAAGGAAACCCTGAGCACATGCAGTTCCAGTACACTAAACTCCTGGCTCACGCACACATCCCTATAGGAACACACCGCCTCAAAAGCAAAAACACCAAAGAAAACGGGATGCCAGAGCAAAGTGACTACCAGGCCCGGACATAAGTATAGAACTAGACTCTGCACGACCTGGCTGACCCAGGCAGGTGGGTGGGGGCAGACTAGTGAAGAAGGGGGAGGGGAGGGTAGACTAGTGAAGAAGGGGGAGGGGGGGCAGACTAGTGAAGAAGGGGGGGGGCAGACTAGTGAAGAAGGGGGGGGGCAGACTAGTGAAGAAGGGGGGGGCAGACTAGTGAAGAAGGGGGGGGGCAGACTAGAGAAGAAGGGGGGGGCAGACTAGTGAAGAAGGGGGGGGGGGGCAGACTAGTGAAGAAGGGGGGGCAGACTAGTGAAGGGGGGGGGCTAGTTTTACAAAATTTTGTTTTCATTGTGGGGGAGTTCGTTTGGGAAATTTTAGGCTACGGTTTCGTTTTAACCATGCGGTAGTCTGTTTTGATTTGCTTATCTTGCTAGGAGCCTTCCCTTGGATGGTGGAAAAGATGATAAACTTTACATTTATTTAAAGTGTTCACAGGCCATTGCTCCCTGCTCCTCTCTGAGAGGGGGGGGGCAGGATCTGGCTCATAGTTGTTTTGTTGTATAAGATTCGTTCCTTGGAACAAAAAGTTCCAAGTAGCACGGGCTATGGTGAGCCCGTAGTGGACTTTTTTCTCATAGTCCACAGAAGGCCAACAGAACTCTGCAACTGATGACACCTAGTAGTATGGCACTTATTCAGTGTGATAGCTCCAGAAAACTGACAATTTTCCTCACAGAAAATACAATAACAAAAGCAGTATTAAAAATCAAATTAATGATTTGAATGCACTTGTGTGGAAAGATTCAATGCGCATTATGGAATTTTAATTAATCCAGATTGTAGATGAATGTAGACAATTGGAAAATTACGAGAACAGAAAATTATGGGACACCAGTTATTTCACATTAATATACAAATTTAAACAAGAGGGGAATTAGCAGTAATATCTGAATTTTTTTAAAATTTTCACCAAAAAATGAATAAAAACTCATGAACATAATGTTTTTTCTGTTTTCTTAGCAGCCAGTTAGAAAAGTTATACAAAAGTTGTTAAGTTTCTTTCTTCCTTCGTAATCAACTGCTTCTTTATCCTGACGCATTTCTTTCTCTACAGAAACAATTTTCCTGTTAGTGAATTCCCGTAGCTGCATGAGAACTACTACATCATAGGCCTCGTAGCAGAATAACACTTCCACATTGCGTTCCTGCACAGGAGAAAAAAGAAACACATTAACTGTTATATCCTCAGTATCATAATTCTAAGAACTGTCCAGCATTGCAAACATCACTAAATTATTGTATTGAGTGGAACACCTTAAACCTAAATGGTTCAGAGATTAAGGTGTGGATGAACAAGCAAGTCTGTTTCAGACCTGGAACAGTTCCACACCGGCTAGTCTTAGATGATATAACTACTATTTGAGTCTTATTATTTCCACAACCTATTTTTTTCAGGGGAAAGCCTCTAGTGGCTCCCTGAACTACTATACTGATATTGTGCCCAACTACAAGGTGCCATCAGTTGTGGAGTTCGTATTGACAGAACCTGACCCACCTCACAGGTGCAGGGAGCAAAGGCAGTTATGAAAAAAAATTATGTCAACTTATTTCTGTTTGCCACCACCAAAGCAAGGCACCCAGAAAGTCAATGCAACAAAATAGACCACAGCCTCAAAACCACCAAATGAACAACAATGTAAACAAACAATTGAAAATTCATGAAACTTGAGCTAGCTCATTTGCCTCCACCTCCCTCAACATTTGGGGGAAGGAGGGAGGCAGTCAGGTGTCAGCCAACTGCTCCACCCTCAGTTCTAATGCTGATATGTATGTGCCTAGTTCCTCTCTCATTGTTCTGGCTCTGGTCTTGGTTTCAGCTCAGTGGTGTTTTGCCCTCGAGGCTTTTTCTGTGTATGGTTGTGCAACGTGAGCCAGGAGTTTAGTGTTCTTGGAGCTGAAAGTGCCCAGGGCTACCTTCCATGTGCGCTCATTAAGTGCTGTCCTTGCGTGGTCAGGGTTCACTCCCTAAAGGGGTCTCCATGCTTGTGGTGGCTCTCGCCCTGAAGGTAAGCTTATTGTCTTGGATTGTCAGTCTCTCCTTGGGTCGAGTGTGTTTATATGCTGGTGGGGCGCACTGAGGTAGACCTTCCAGATTACCATACCTGGTTTGGTCTGCTATTCTCCTTTGTTCCACGGTCGGGTATCTTGAGAGTTAGTGGTACTTAATTGGTAATTCGGTCCCTTTATGGCCTTTATTTTTCATTGTGCCCTCATTCCTCTAAGGGGGGTTTATTTGTGCCATTCCTGACTTATTAGGTTTACCTAGTGTCTAGGCATGGATGGTCCCCTTTTTGGTTTCTCTTGCTCCTTCTGGTGGTATTGGGTGTTAATAGGGAAACCTATAAAATTATATAGGAGTTACCAGTATAGCGATAACAGTGCCTGGGCATACCTGCAGGGAACATTCACCCTGCAAGCCCTGGTAAACCTCTAAGGGTTTGGTGGTCCTTGTGATCCACCCACCATCCCTACTCTCACTTCGAGCAAATTTCTGGGTTGCGCACCATCCATGCTTTGTGGCAATGTTCAGTTTGTCTACCTCCACTGCTACCTGTTGGGTCTGTGACAACTTTGGCCCTGAGTCATGAAGGGGATGCTCCCTTCAAGTTGCTCTACTCTGCCAATTTTGGAGGGGCTTCTGGCAGCAACTGCTGGTGTCTTTAGTTCCTGGATTGCAGCAGTCAAGGTTGTGTCCCCGGTTTGAGGCCCGGGGCTAGCAAATGATGCTTGTCTCATGGAATAGGCGGTGATTTTGTCCATACCTCCTTTTCATTCTTTCTCCTTTGGGCAGGGAGTTTGCCCTTCTTTTCCCCTGCCCCTGGCCCAGTAGCAGGTTTAGGGTTGAGGTGGGGGTTTTCTTTGGGATATTCCTTCGGCAGCTACGAGGGTTGTTTCTTTCAATTCGAGTGTAGATACAGTTGAGCCGTCTCATCTTGCCAAGGTTTCTGGGTACTCCTTTTTAGTCCCATCACAAAAAATAATAAAAAACCAGCTTTGAATGTAATGAAACGTCATTTTCTAGGTGAGAGGCCGGAGGCTCCCCAGAGCTATCCAGGCAGATATGTATACAGTATTATTAGACTTTGGCATCAGTGTGAATGAAGTTTTAGGCCTACCAGGGACCACGAGCCAGAACCTGACCCCCTCAGAGAGGCACGAGGAGCAATGGCCTATAGAACTGCACATGTGATTTGGAGCATTCTATGTCTGCCATTGACCAGGTCAGGCACCCAGAAAGGCAAGCGCCTTAAAACAAGCCCCTCTTCTGGTTAAAACCACTACTAAAACTAACGAGTGAACTCAACTCCCCAAATGAAAACGAGCAAATGAGCATGATGTCACATGTGCCGTGTCACTTGTCTGCGCAGCTTCCCCCTCCCCCCACCCCCGGGAGGGGAAAGGGGGAGCCCCAGACCCCTCATGCCAGCGATCCACACTCGTTCTCGGCTGATGTGATAAGGCTCAGTCGTGTGGCTCCAGCTCCAGATTCTCTCTGTTGTGCTATGCTTTGTGTTCAGTACTGCTCATACAGTGGCGTGTGAGCTGGCAGTAATAATCTAATATTCACAGGTACTCGGGCTGCATGTGCTTAGGGTTCCCTTCCCTGAGTGCCCTGTAAGTAACGCCTTTGGGGACTGGGGTTATCTTCCACAAGGCACCTTGGGAACTACCTCTGTTGGTCTTTTGCTGCTCGGTAATTGACCGCCCTGGGAGTGTTGGGGGGGGGGAGGGGGGTTCCTCCTCGCTTTTTACCTTGGAGTAACTGGTAGTTTTTGCACTGGTAGGAGCACAGGGTACTGCGCAGCTAGTTTTCACATATTACAGTGGCCGGCTCTGTTCCTTCTGGGTACGTTGTCCTCTTGCGGGGTTTTCTTTTCATTTTTTTTGGTACCTAGTGGGGGGGCCGGCTTTTGTACCTAGTGGGGGGGGGCCTGCTTTTGTACCTAGTGGGGGGGGGCTGCTTTTGTACCTAGTGGGGGCCCTGCTTTTGTACCTAGTGGGGGGGCCTGCTTTTGTACCTAGTGGGGGGGGGCCTGCTTTTGTTCCCCTGCCCCCTGTTATATTAGGATCATGACCTCCTGGGCTCGGTGGTTCCCCCTGCTTGGCTCCCGTGAGTGGACACGTCCCGGGGTTTTAGTTTTAGAAATTTGTTTGGTAGACTTGGGTGCCAGTTAGCAGTACCCTGGCTGGGCTTACCCTTAACAAAACCTGTCTTAGGGCCCTGGGAAGCCCTGTGGGGGTGAAAGGGGTCCAATGGATGCGACCCCTGGGTCCCCACTCACTTTTTGAGAGTTTGAAGGTTGCTCTGTCCCCTTGTCTCAGGGCAACGCTCAATGTTTTTGCCTCCGTTATGCTGCCTGTCGAGTAAGTGACGCTTTCGACCCCGAGTCCTGCAAGCATTGTTGCTTGTTTGTGACTCAATTCACCCAATCAACTGATGACATTATTTGGGTGCAGACGACTCAGGCGTTGCATGCTGGATATAGGTTACTGCAACGTGCTAGGTTGGCTGCTTCACCAGAGGCCTCAAGGCTGCCCCGCTTTGCGTATAGGGACCCAGACTTGGGGGTGTTGGTCGCTTCAGCTTTGGTTCAGTCCACACCCCCTCATTCTTCCCCTGCTGTAATATATTCTGCTCCCCCCCCCCTCCCTGCCCCCTTGATTACCACTCTGCAGCATCTGAGGGCTTCGGGGTCAGGGCGAGGTTTAGAGGATTCTGAGACTTGGGCAGTTTCGGGAGTTGCCCCTTCCGGGGTGGCGACAGAGGCATTCGAGTCGGTTCCTCCAGCCGTAGCGATGGGGTCTGACCAGTGGGTCTCCATTCCTGCTCTTTTGGCTGCCGCGACTTTTTCTTGTGAGGCCGGACTTTGAAGGATGACTCGTCCCCGAGGCCTGATGTGGAGGTAAGATGCACCCGATTCGAGGTCACTCATGAGAAGTCAGTAAATAGAGAAACCCAAAATCTTTGAGGAACCTAAATTCCTCAACAGTTACCTCCAGAGGGGAAGGGTACATACGAGCCTACTATAGAAGGAATGAACCTCGGGCTATCAGTTGGAGCAAAATATTAAGCAAGAGCACATGCAATGTGGAGGACATTACAAACATTCATGAACAACAACACATTAATGTTTGTTGTCCGGAGTATGGGGGAGTAGGGGGGAGAGTGGGGGAGTATGGGGGAGAGTGGGGGAGAATGGGGGAGAGTGGGGGAGTATGGGGGATAGTGGGGTAGTATGTGGGAGTAAAGGGGAGAGAGGGGGGAGAGTGCAGGAGAGTATGGGGGAGAGTGTGGGGGAGTGGGGGAGTATGGGGGAGAGTGGTGGAGTATGGGGGAGAGTGGGGGGGAGGGGAGTATGGGGGGAAAGTGGGGGAGAGTGGAGGAGTATGGGGGAGAGTATGGGGGAGAGTGACAGATTATGGGGGAGAGTGCGGAAGTATGGGGGAGAGTGGGGAAGTATGGGGGAGAGTGGGGAAGTATGGGGGAGAGTGGGGGAGTATGGGGGAGAGTGGGGGGAGTATGGGGAAGAGTGGGGGAGTATGGGGGAGAGTGGGGGAGTATGGGGGAGAGTAGGGAAGTATGGGGGAGAGTGGGGGGAGTATGGGGAAGAGTGGGGGAGTATGGGGGAGAGTGGGGGAGTATGGGGGAGAGTGACAGATTATGGGGGAGAGTGCGGAAGTATGGGGGAGAGTGACAGATTATGGGGGAGAGTGCGGAAGTATGGGGGAGAGTGGGGGAGTATGGGGAAGAGTGGAGGAGTATGGGGGAGAGTGGGGAAGTATGGGGGAGAGTGGGGAAGTATGGGGGAGAGTGGGGAAGTATGGGGGAGAGTGGGGGGAGTATGGGGAAGAGTGGGGGAGTATGGGGGAGAGTGGGGGAGTATGGGGGAGAGTGGGGGAGTATGGGGGAGAGTGGGGGAGTACGGGGGAGAGTGGGGGAGAGTGGGGGAGAGTAGTGGGGGAGAGTGGGGGAGTATGGGGGGAGAGTTGGGATAGTATGGGGGAGAGTGGGGGAGTATGGGGGAGAGTGGGGGAGTATGGGGGAGAGTGGGGGAGTATGGGGGAGAGTTGGGATAGTATGGGGGAGAGTGGGAGAGTATGGGGGAGAGTGGGGGAGTATGGGGAAAAGAAAACGAGGAAATCCTAGTAGAAATCCTATTAGAAACCCTACTAGGAATCTAAGTAGAAAACCTAATAGAAATTCCCTAGAAATCCTACTGGAAATTCCCTAGAAATCCTACTAAAAATCTTACTAGGAATCCTTTATAAATCGTAATAGAAATCACCTAGAAATCCTACTTTTAAATCCTACTATGAATCCTATTAGAAATCCTACTAGGAATCCCCTAAAATCCTATTAGAAGTTCTACTAGGAATCCCATTAGAAATCTTACTAGAAATTCCCCTAGAAATCGTACAAGAAACCCTTCTAGAAATTTTCCTAGGAATCCTACTAGAAATCACCTTAAAAATTCTACTAGGAATCCCCTAGTGATCCTACTAGAAATCCTACTAGGAATCCTACTTGGAATCATACTAGTAATCCTACTAGAAATACTAGAAATCATACTTGAAATCCCCTACCAATTCAACTAGAAATCCTACTGCAAATCCTACTAGGAATCCAACTAGGATTCTAGTATAAATCCTACAAGAATCCTACTACGAATGGTACGTACTAGAAATCACCTAGAAATTCTACTTAAAATCGTACTAGAAATCCTACGAGGAAATCCTAGTAGAAATCGTACTAGAAATCCTACGAGGAAATCCTAGTAGAAATCGTACTAGAAACCTTACTGGGAATCCTAGTAGAAATCCTACTAGAAATTCCCTAGAAATCCTACTGGAAATTCCCTAGAAATCCTACTAGAAATTCTACTTTAAATCACCTAGAAATCTTATTAGAAATCCTACTAGAAGTCCTACTAGTAATCATACTAAAAATTCAAATCTAAATTCATTTAGAAATCCTACTAGAAATCACCTAGGTATCTTACTAGAAATCCTACTAAGAATCCAACTAGAAATCCTACTAGAAATCTTACTAGGAATGCTACTAGAAATCCCACTAGAAATCTTACTAGGAATCCTACTAGAAGTCCTAGTAGAAATCTTTCTAGAAATCCTACTAGGAATCACCTAGAAATCCTACTAGAAAACCGACCAGGAATCCCACTAGAAATCTTACTAGAAATTCTCCAGGAAATCCTACTAGAAATTCCCATAGAAATCGTACTGAAATCCTATTAAAAATCCTACTAGGAATCCTATTAAAAATCCAAGTATAAATCCTTTTAGAAATTCCACTAGAAATCCTATAAGGAAATCTACTAGAAATCCTACAAGGAAACCTACTAGGAATCCTACTAGGATTCTAGTATAAATCCTACAAGAATCCTACTACGAATTGTACGTACTAGAAATCACCTAGGAATTCTACTTAAAATCGTACTAGAAATCCTACGGGGAAATCCTAGTAGAAATCCTAGTAGAAATCGTACTAGAAATCCTACGAGGAAATCCTAGTAGATATCGTACTAGAAACCTTACTGAGAATCCTAATAGAAATCCTACTAGAAATTCCTTAGAAATCTTACTGGAAATTCCCTAGAAATCCTACTAGAAATTCTACTTTAAATCTCCTAGAAATCTTATTAGAAATCCTACTAGAAGTCCTACTAGTAATCCTACTAAAAATTCAAATCTAAATTCTTTTAGAAATCCTACTAGAAATCACCTAGGAATTCTACTAGAAATCCTACTAAGAATCCCACTAGAAATCATACTAGAAATCTTACTAGGAATGCTACTAGAAATCCCACTAGAAATCTTACTAGGAATCCTACTAGAAGTCCTAGTAGAAATCTTTCTAGAAATCCTATTAGGAATCACCTAGAAATAATACTAGAAAACCGACCAGGAATCCCACTAGAAATCTTACTAGAAATTCTCCAGGAAATCCTACTAGAAATCCTACTAAAATCCTACTAGGAATCCTATTAAAAATCCTATTAAAAATCCTATTAAAAATCCTAGTATAAATCCTTTTAGAAATTCCACTAGAACTCCTACAAGGAATCCTACTAGAAATCCGCTAGAAATCCTAATAGAAATTCCCCTAGAAATCCTACTAGAAATCCTACTAGAAATTCCCCTAGAAATCCTACTAGAAATTCCCCTAGAAATCCTACTAGGAATCCCCAAGAAATCCAACTTGAAATACTACTACGGATCCTACTAGAAATCACCTAGAAATCCTAAAACAAGTCTTACTAGGAATCCTACTAGAATTCCTACTAGGAATCCCCTAGAAATCCTACAAGAAATCCTCGAAATTCTACTAGGAATCCCTTAGAAATCCTAGAAATCCTACTAGGAATCTTACTAGGAATCCTACTTTAAATTCTCCTAGAAATCCTACTAGGAGTCCTGTTAAAAATCATAGTAAAAATCCTTTTAGAAATTCTGCTAGAAACCCTACTAGAAATTCCCCTGGATATACTACTAGAAATTCCTTTAGAAATCCCACTTGAAATTCCACGGAATATCCCTCTAGAAAACCCCTAGAAATCCTACTAGAAACCTTGGTAGTAATCCAAGTGGAAATCTCCAAGAAATTTTACTAGAAACATGTCATGGGTTCGTATCCTGGCCGGGGAGGATTTACTGGGCTCAATTCCTTAACTGTAGCCTCTGTTTAACGCAACAGTAAAATGTGTACTTGGATGAAAAAATGATTCTTCGCGGCAGGAAATCGTATTCCAGGGACCTGCCCGAAACGCTACGCGTACTAGTGGCTCTACAAGAATGTAACAACTCTTGTATATATCTCAAAAAAAAAAAAAAACTTACTAGGAATCTTAGTATAAATCCTATTAGAATTTCCCTAGAAATCATATAAATCCTACTAGAAATCACCTAGAAGTCCTACTAGAAATCTCCTATAAATCCTATTGTAAATCCTAATGGGAATCCCCTATAAATCCAATTTTAATCCGATCGACTTTGGGATAATTTAAACATGTTTGCTATTAAATTTTTGTTTTCTCTAATAGCCACATAGCCTATTTGAGAGAACGGAAATCGCTTGTATCTTCGTGGTAAAACTATTGTAATGTTGACACGACGCGTGTAATCAACGAAGTTTCTTTATTTGGTGCCGGTCTAACGCATCCTTGTGTGACATTTTACACATATGTTCTTCTAGAACATTCTATTGCAAACACATTGGTACAAAAATTAAGTACGTACATCGAAAATTAAGGTCAGGACAGTGAAAAGAATATACACTTTTCAAAAGGTGTTTCGCCGATCTGCCGTTGGGTGTGCCATTACAGGTAACACTTCAGCCACTTCCCACACTCTTGAGGGTGGGCCGCGATCATGATTCTACATTTATATGCATATGGCCGTGAAGGGAATTTTATTGCGGTCACAGTGATACCAAAATTAACGACGTAGCACAATTCTGGGATTGACAAACATGAAAAGATCATAAACATTTAAGCGCGGTTTGACGCTCACAGCTAATGATTGCCATAGTTTTTTATTTGGTGCGGGTCTCATGTCGGGTTTGGTGAAATTTTACATATATATTCCTCTAGAGCATTCTCTTGCGAACAAATTGATACCAAATTTAAATACATGGAATATTTATGGCATTTAGCGTTTTTTAAATATCCCGCACTTTAGACAGTGGTACATAACCTCTTCGGTTTGGTGCTTTAACTTAACATAACCTAACCTAACCTACCTAACCTAACCTAACCTAACCTAACCTAACCTAACCTAACCTAACCTAACCTAAACTAACCTAACCTAACCTAACCTAAACTAACCTAACCTAACCTAACCTAACCTAACCTAACCTAACCTAACCTAACCTAACCTAACCTAACCTAACCTAACCTAACCTAACCTAACCTAACCTAACCTAACCTAACCTAACCTAACCTAACCTAACCTAAACCTAACCTAAACTAACCTAACCTAACCAACCTAACCTAACCTAACCTACCTAACCTAACCTAACCTAACCTAACCTAACCTAACCAACCTAACCTAACTTAACCTAACCCCCCTCCCCTGCTGTTTTCAAAATATCGGAAATATCGGAAATTTGACTCGTGGGCGTTATTTTTGAGCCGAATTCCTGTTCACTGCACATATTTTCAGTTTGAAGTTACGAATTTTTATACAGAAAATATCCGAATTACTGAAAACGTAGATGGGTCATATTTTGCCCAAACCCTAATGCAGTTTTCAAAATACCTGAAATATCGGAAATTTGACTCATGAGCGTCATTTTCGAGCCGAATTCTGGCTCACTGCACATATTTACAGTTTGAAATTACGAATTTTTATACCGAAAATATGCCAATTATTGGAAACAGCGATGGGTCATATTTTGCCCAAACCCACCTGCAGATTTACAAATATCAGAAATATCGGAAATTTGAATATGAGCATCATTCTTGAGTCGAAGTCTGGCTCACTGCACATATTTACAGTTTTAAATTAGCAATTTTTATACTGAAAATATTCTAAATACTGAAAACGGCGGTCATATTTTGCCCAAACCTCCATGCAGTTTTCAAAATATCTGAAATATCAGAAATACGACTCATGAGCGTCATTTTTAAATTCCCTACTCAGTGCTGGGCTCTAGGGCGGGCATTATGGAGGGCGGGCATTATGGAGGGCGGGCACACTATGGAGGGCGGGCACTCTATGGAGGGCGGGCACACTATGGAGGGCGGGCACTGTATGGAGGGCGGGCACTGTATGGAGGGCGGGCACACTATGGAGGGCGGGCACACTATGGAGGGCGGGCACTCTATAGAGGGCGGGCACACTATGGAGGGCGGGCACAGTATGGAGGGCGGGCACACTATGGAGGGCGGGTACACTATGGAGGGCGGGTACACTATGGAGGGCGGGCACACTATGGAGGGCGGGTACACTATGGAGGGCGGGCACACTATGGAGGGCGGGTACACTATGGAGGGCGGGCACACTATGGAGGGCGGGTACACTATGGAGGGCGGGTAGCGGTAAAGGAACAGTCGGGTCCAGAAGGGTTCAGACTCCTGGTGGTCGTGAGGCGGCTGGAAATAAATGGTGGTAGAGTGGTGCCATGGTGCTCTGTGCCAGGCAGGTAGAGTGGTGCCACGGTGCTCTGTGCCAGGCAGGTAGAGTGGTGCCACGGTGCTCTGTGCCAGGCAGGTGGACTGGTGCCATGGTGCTCTGTGCCAGGCAGGTAGAGTGGTGCCACGGTGCTCTGTGCCAGGCAGGTAGAGTGGTGCCACGGTGCTCTGTGCCAGGCAGGTAGAGTGGTGCCACGGTGCTCTGTGCCAGGCAGGTAGAGTGGTGCCACGGTGCTCTGTGCCAGGCAGGTGGACTGGTGCCACGGTGCTCTGTGCCAGGCAGAGAGAGTGGTGCCATGGTGCTCTGTGCCAGGCAGGTAGAGTGGTGCCACGGTGCTCTGTGCCAGGCAGGTAGAGTGGTGCCACGGTGCTCTGTGCCAGGCAGGTGGACTGGTGCCACGGTGCTCTGTGCCAGGCAGGGAGAGTGGTGCCACGGTGCTCTGTGCCAGGCAGGTAGAGTGGTGCCACGGTGCTCTGTGCCAGGCAGGTAGAGTGGTGCCACGGTGCTCTGTGCCAGGCAGGGAGAGTGGTCCCACGGTGCTCTGTGCCAGGCAGGTAGAGTAGTGCCACGGTGCACTGTGCCAGGCAGGTAGAGTGGTGCCACGGTGCTCTGTGCCAGGCAGGGAGAGTGGTGCCACGGTGCTCTGTGCCAGGCAGGGAGAGTGGTGCCATGGTGCTCTGTGCCAGGCAGGGAGAGTGGTGCCACGGTGCTCTGTGCCAGGCAGGGAGAGTGGTGGGGGCCAGAACACACGGCATGGTGGCAACATACAGCATGTTGGCAAAAACGGCATGCTGGCAACATACGGGACCCACCTTCCTGGTGGGCGGGCCTTTAAGGGGCGGTGGGCGGGCCTGGTAGGGGCGGTGGGCGGGCCTGGCAGGGGCGGTGGGCGGGCCTGGCAGGGGCGGTGGGCGGACCATGGAGGACAGGTGGGTAGAGGCAGCAGTGCGGGTGTAGGGCCAGTGTTGGCCTGGCTCCCGTGCCGCTCAGTTCCGCGCTGTACCTCGCTGCCCTGCCTCAGGTCAGTCCCAGCACCCCCTCTAACCCCTGCCTCAGGTCAGTCCCAGCACCCCCTCTAACCCTTGCCTCAGGTCAGTCCCAGCACCCCCTCTAACCCCTGCCTCAGGTCAGTCCCAGCACCCCCTCTAACCCCTGCCTCAGGTCAGTCCCAGCACCCCCTCTAACCCCTGCCTCAGGTCAGTCCCAGCACCCCCTCTAACCCCTGCCTCAGGTCAGTCCAGCACCCCCTCTAACCCCTGCCTCAGGTCAGTCCCAGCACCCCCTCTAACCCCTGCCTCAGGTCAGTCCCAGCACCCTCTCTAACTCCTGCCTCAGGTCAGTCCCAGCACCCCCTCTAACCCCTGCCTCAGGTCAGTCCCAGCACCCCCTCTAACCCCTGCCTCAGGTCAGTCCCAGCACCCCCTCTAACCCCTGCCTCAGGTCAGTCCCAGCACCCTCTCTAACCCCTGCCTCAGGTCAGTCCCAGCACCCCCTCTAACCCCTGCCTCAGGTCAGTCCCAGCACCCCCTCTAACCCCTGCCTCAGGTCAGTCCCAGCACCCCCTCTAACCCCTGCCTCAGGTCAGTCCCAGCACCCCCTTCCCCCCTCTAACCCCTGTCTCAAGTCGTGATCATCCCTCCCCTCCCTCTCACCAGCTTCTGGGACACCGGTCCACCCATCCCTACATACAGAACACCACAACACTCCCAACACACCACCACAACACTCCCAACACACCACCACAACACTACCAACACACCACCACAACACTCCCAACACACCACCACAACACTCCCAACACACCACCACAACACTCCCAACACACCACCACAACACTCCCAACACACCACCACAACACTCCCAACACACCACCACAACACTCCCAACACACCACCACAACACTCCCAACACACCACCACAACACTCCCAACACACCACCACAACACTCCCAACACACCACCACAACACTCCCAACACACCACCACAACACTCCCAACACACCACCACAACACTCCCAACACACCACCACAACACTGTGTGACAACTGGAGCCATACTTGGCAATGTTTGTCTTCAGCTGGAAGTTTTAGGTGAAGTTGACTGATGCTCATTATAATGCCTTTGAGTGCCACTAGAGGGAGACTAATGTGTCGTGTTCCGTCACAGTGCCACAAGAGGAAGAATAATGTGTCGTGTTCCGTCACAGTGGCACTAGAGGGAGAATAATGTGTCGTGTTCCGTCACAGTGCCACAAGAGGATGAATAATGTGTCGTGTTCCGTCACAGTGCCACTAGAGGGAGAATAATGTGTCGTGTTCCGTCACTGTGCCACTAGAGGGAGAATAATGTGTCGTGTTCCGTCACAGTGCCACAAGAGGAAGAATAATGTGTCGTGTTCCGTCAGTGCCATTAGAGGAAGAATAATGTGTCGTGTTCCGTCACAGTGCCACAAGAGGGAGAATAATGTGTCGTGTTCCGTCACTGTGCTACTAGAGGGAGAATAATGTGTCGTGTTCCGTCACAGTGCCACAAGAGGGAGAATAATGTGTCGTGTTCCGTCAGTGCCATTAGAGGAAGAATAATGTGTCGTGTTCTGTCACAGTGCCACAAGAGGGAGAATAATGTGTCGTGTTCCGTCACAGTGCCACTAGAGGGAGAATAATGTGTCGTGTTCCGTCACAGTGCCATTAGAAGAAGAATAATGTGTCGTGTTCCGTCACAGTGCCACAAGAGGGAGAATAATGTGTCGTGTTCCGTCACAGTGCCACTAGAGGGAGAATAATGTGTCGTGTTCCGTCACAGTGGCACAAGAGGGAGATTAATGTGTCGTGTTCCGTCACAGTGCCACTAGAGGGAGAATAATGTGTCGTGTTCCGTCACAGTGCCACTAGAGGGAGAATAATGTGTCGTGTTCCGTCACAGTGCCACTAGAGGGAGAATAATGTGTCGTGTTCCGTCACAGTGCCACAAGAGGAAGAATAATGTGTCATGTTCCGTCACAGTGCCACTAGAGGGAGAATAATGTGTCGTGTTCCGTCACAGTGCCACTAGAAGGAGAATAATGTGTCGTGTTCCGTCACAGTGCCACTAGAGGGAGAATAATGTGTCGTGTTCCGTCACAGTGCCACTAGAGGGAGAATAATGTGTCGTGTTCCGTCACAGTGCCACTAGAAGGAGAATAATGTGTCGTGTTCCGTCACAGTGCCACTAGAGGGAGAATAATGTGTCGTGTTCCGTCACAGTGCCACTAGAGGGAGAATAATGTGTCGTGTTCCGTCACAGTGCCACAAGAGGAAGAATAATGTGTCGTGTTCCGTCACAGTGGCACAAGAGGGAGAATAATGTGTCGTGTTCCGTCACAGTGCCACAAGAGGAAGAATAATGTGTCGTGTTCCGTCACAGTGGCACAAGAGGGAGAATAATGTGTCGTGTTCCGTCACAGTCGCACAAGAGGGAGATTAATGTGCCGTGTTCCGTCACAGCTCTGGTGTGAGGGTGCACAGAGCTAGTGCGGGGGAGCCGGTCGGCCGAGCGGACAGCACGCTGGGCTTGTGATCCTGTGGTCCTGGGTTCGATCCCAGGCGCCGGCGAGAAACAATGGGCAGAGTTTCTTTCATCCTATGCCCCTGTTACCTAACAGTAAAATAGGTACCTGGGTGTTAGTCAGCTGTCACGGGCTGCTTCCTGGGGGTGGAGGCCTGGTCGAGGACCGGGCCGCGGGGACACTAAAAAAAAAAAAAGCCCCGAAAACATCTCAAGATAACCTCAAGAAGATAACAGTGCCATTAGAGGGAGAATAATGGGTCGTGTTCCGTCACAGTGCCACAAGAGGAAGATTAATGTGCCATGTTCCGTCACAGTGCCACAAGAGGGAGAATAATGTGTCGTGTTCCGTCACAGTGCCATTAAAGGAAGAATAATGTGTCGTGTTCCGTCACAGTGCCACTAGAAGGAGAATAATGTGTCGTGTTCCGTCACAGTGCCATTAGAGGGAGAATAATGTGTCGTGTTCCGTCACAGTGGCACTAGAGGGAGAATAATGTGTCGTGTTCCGTCACAGTGCCATTAGAGGAAGAATAATGTGTCGTGTTCCGTCACAGTGCCACTAGAAGGAGAATAATGTGTCGTGTTCCGTCACAGTGCCACAAGAGGAAGATTAATGTGCCGTGTTCCGTCACAGTGGCACTAAAGGGAGAATAATGTGTCGTGTTCCGTCACAGTGCCACAAGAGGAAGAATAATGTGCCGTGTTCCGTCACAGTGCCACTAGAGGGAGAATATTATCATGTACAGCGCTAGTATGAGGGTGCACAGCTCTTGTGTGAGGGTGCACAGAGCTAGTGTGAGGGTGCACAGAGCTAGTGTGAGGGTGCACAGCGCTAGTGTGAGGGTGCACAGAGCTAGTGTGAGGGTGCACAGCGCTAGTGTGAGGGTGAACAGCGCTAGTGTGAGGGTGCACTGCGCTAGTGTGAGGGTGCACAGCGCTAGTGTGAGGGTGCACAGCGCTAGTGTGAGGGTGCACAGCGCTAGTGTGAGGGTGCACAGCGCTAGTGTGAGGGTGCACAGCGCTAGTGTGAGGGTGCACAGCGCTAGTGTGAGGGTGCACAGCGCTAGTGTGAGGGTGTACAGCGCTAGTGTGAGGGTGCACAGTGCTAGTCTGACGGTGCACAGCGCTATTGTGGGGGGTGCACAGTGCTAGTCTGACGGTGCACAGCGCTATTGTGGGGGGGTGCACAGCGCTAGTGTGCAGCCTGACGTATGAGTCACAGCCTGGTTGATCAGGTATCATTTGGAGGTGCTTATCCAGTTCTCTCATGAACACTGTGAGGGGATTGCCAGTTATGTCCCTTATGTGTAGCGGAAGCGTGTTGAACAGTCTCGGGCCTCTGATGTTGATAGAGTTCTCTCTCAGAGTACCTGTTGCACCTCTGATCTTTAACGGGGGTATTCTGCACATCCTGCCATGTCTTCTGGTCTCATGTGATGTTATTTCTGTGTGCAGGTTTGGGACCAGCCTCTCAATTATTTTCCACGTAAAGATTATTATGTATCTCTCCCGCCTGCGCTCAAGGGAGTGCAGATTTAGGCTCTTTAGTCGGTCCCAGTAGTTTAAATGTTTTACTGAGTGGATTCTAGAGGTAAAGGATCTCTGCACGCTCTCCGGGTCAGCAGTTTCTCCTGCATTGAAAGGGGCTGTCATTGTGCAGCAGTACTCCACTCTAGAGAGCACAAGCGTTTTGAAAAATATCATCATCGGTATAGCATCTCTAGTGTGAAAAGTTCTTGTTATCCAACCTGTCATTTTTCTTGCAGTTGTGACGGCTATTTTATTGTGTTCTTTGAAGGTAAGATCTTCCGACATGAGTACACCCAGATCCTTTACATTGTCTTTTCGTTCCATGTTATGATTTGCCTGAGTTTTGTACGTGGTTTCCGTTTTTATATTTTCATTTTTTCCGTAGCACAGGAGTTGAAACTTATCTTCGTTAGACACCATATTATTTTCTGTAGCCCATAGAAAGACCTGATCTACATCTGATTGGAGGTTTGCCGTGTCCTCTATGTTGCCTACTCTCATGAAGATCCTAGTGTCATCTCCAAAGGATGATACAGTGCTATAGGTTGTGTTCTTGTCTATGTCCGATATGAGGATGAGAAAAAGTACTGGAGCAAGCACAGTACCCTGGGGGACTGAGCTCTTCATGGTTGATGGGCTGGATTTTATTTTGTTGACTATTACACATTGGGTTCTGTTAGTTAGGAAATTGTAGATCCATCTGCCAATTTTCCCGGTAATTCCTTTTGAACGCATTTTATGTGCAATAACACCATAGTCACATTTATCAAAGGCTTTTGCGAAATCTGTGTAAATTACATCAGCGTTTTGCTTGTCTTCCATAGCATATAATGCCATATCATAGTGGTACAGCAACTGCGACAGGCAAGAGCGCCCTGTTCTGAAACCATGTTGTCCGGGGTTATGGAGATGCTGTGATTCCAGGTATTTCTCTCTCAAAAAATTT